TTGGATCAAGGCACGGTGTCCTTGCACATGAAAGAAATTAAAAACTTGCTGATAGCTCTCTGAAGTTCTCGTAGAAAGCACAAGTCTAGAGCAGGGACAAAAGATTCTTTCCTTAAAGCCCAGGTTTTAAATACAGATTTTACTTCTGAAATAACAAGAAATTAAGCTGAATAAATTTGTACTGGAACTGTAGCTTTCATCACTGACATGAAGTATCAGAGGTAGAAATGTGTCCTTCAAGTACTGCATTAGCAGATAACCTAAAACTTGATATGGAGATGTAATTCATGTATGCTAAGATGATGATACTTTAAAATAAGCTCCTAATTCATGGCTGGTCCCTAATGCTTGGTATTGCAAATTTAGGATTTCTGGGAGATTAAGTAATCAGGCATGTTTGACTCAACACATCTCTTTCATGTTCAAAATAGTCCTTTTAATAGTGGCTTTTATTTGTGAAGTCTTTGTGCCGTCACACCTTTTTAAGGACATCTTTCTTTAAGAATATCCAATTAACTGAGAATTTTCAGTATTATTGCTTCTATATGTGTCAATATGAAAAACCCCAACAAACAAACAAAAAAACCCCACAAACTCTTTTCTTGTACAAAAAACTGAGCTTTAAATGTTCAGAAGCACACAGAGAATGGGTGGAAACATGATGTTAATTTCTCATACAGTTTCTTGGAAGATTTGCATTTTTTAAGTTATCAGTTCATTGATCTGTTTCCTTAACTACTTTTCTACGCCTGAATCTTCAGACAAAACCTGTTGACCCCACAGTGGATGGAGGTGCACAGGTTCAGCAGGTTGTGAACATCGAATGTGTGTCAGACTTCATGGAAGCTCCAATCCTGAACATTCAGTTCAGGTAAAACAATGGATTCAAATGTTAGTGAATTAATTAGATGAAAGATGTTAAATCTGGCATGGCCCTGCGACTGAAATGCAAAATACGGACACAAAAAGCTCTCTTGGATAGATAACTTGAAAATTTCATCTAATTAAGCTTTAAGGTGTTAGGGAGAATCCACTTGGAACAATGTGGTTTAAAACCCCAGCCAAACCAAACAGTCAAGAAGCAGCTACTGATAATATGTCTCCATGACTTCTGTCTCTGCTAGCTATATAAAACAGCAGTCTTCCTGTTTGCTTAAGAAATCTTGACAGGAATATACGCAGTAACTTCTCCCTTCTGGAAACCAAGAACATTTCTGCAAATAACTTGGCCTGGAAGTGTATGCGACCAGAAATAGAATCTTGTTCTGTCCACTCAACGTCAGCTCAGCTTTATAAAATTCTGAGTTCTGGGCTACATGCTGCTTTTTCTAGTCTAAACTGGTTTTTATTGGTATGTTTTCACAAGGATATATTTTGCCCCTTAGGGTGCTATCTAGAAGGATAAACCTATGCTAAAACTGAGAGAACCTTATAAGCAGTTCTACCAATTCATCTATTGCCATCTAAGGAGAGAAAATCAATTTATTTAACAGTGGCCTGAAACTGTATATTAGAAATGTCATGTGCAGTTGATGGATTTTGATCATAAACAGTTCCTCATTTACTTGGTTGATTTCTGCTGAGAGACTGCTGAGGCTGCCACATACACTGTGGTTTTTCTATTCCATCTGCAGGTACGGCGGAACATTTCAAAATCTATCGGTAAAATTACCCATCACTCTGAATAAATTTTTCCAGCCAACAGAGATGTCTTCTCAAGACTTCTTTCAGCGTTGGAAGCAGTTGAGCAAGTAAGACTTTGTACTTTTGTACTTTGGGCCTCTTGTGGTGGGCAAGGGAAGAGAAAGGTATATAGTGAATGTAGCTGGTGCAGTGCCTCATCCCATACTCAATCCTGTGAGCCATGAGCTCTCTCAGTAGAATTAATTGCTATTGGAAATGCTGTTCATAATGTATTTGTCTTGCCTTGTCTTGCAGTCCAAAACAGGAAGTACAGAATATCTTTAAAGCAAAGCACCCAATGGATGCAGAAATCACGAAAGCAAAGGTGGGTAGTTTTGTGATATTTTTATAGTGTACAGGGCAGTGGCAGGTCATGTTTTAACCCCAGCTGGCACCTAAGCACCACACAGCCATTTGCTGATTCTCCCCCAGTGGGGTGGGACAGAGAATAAGGGTAAAAGTGAGAAAATGTGTGGGTTGAGGTAAAGAGAGTTCAGTAGGTAAAGGAAAAGCCATGCACACAAGCAAAGAATTAATTCAGAGCTTCCTATTGGCAGGGAGGTGTTTGGCCATCCCCGGGGCAGCAGGGTTCCATCAGGTGTAACAGTTACTTGGGATGGCAAAAGCATCACTGTGAACATCCTCCTTTTTTTTTCCCAGCCTTGTATGCTGAGCCAGGACAGTTTACAGTATGGGGTATCCCATTGTTCAGTTGTCCTGGCTGTGTCCTGTCCCAGCTCCTTGTGCATCCCCAGCTTCCTCACTTCTAGGGTGAGGAGTAGAAAAGACCTTGGCTCTGTGTAACCCCTGCTCAGTGATAACCAAAACATCCCTCTGTTATCAACTCTTTTAAGCAGAAATCTAAAGTGCAGCCCATACCAGCTGCTATGAAGAAAACTCTATCCCAGCCCAAATTAGCACGTGGTATAAGCAAACTTTATGCATTTTTGTTTATATGGCAGTTGGATCATCCAGTGAAAGTGTGAGTCCATGCTATGTGATAGACAGTGGCAGTGCTGAGTTGAATGGACAGTTTCTAGCTGTGGTTTGAATTAGATGCAGTCTTCAGTAGCAGCTTGAAGCTGTTTAAGAAAGCACAGATTCACTGCTTAAAACTGAATTGGAAAATAGTTCAAGTCTTAATTTATACTTGAGGTACTGGTTAGAAAAGGAAGTGACTTTTTGGCTGCCTTAGGCAAAACAGAAGTGACTGTGTAATAGGAATGTGTAACAGGAATGGCTGTATCAAAACTGGGGGAGACTGATGTTAAATCTTAACTTGCTTCTCAGTTGCTTTTTAAAAGAACCTTATTTACAGAATAGCTCATTTATCAGGGTCAGCCTTCAAAAATTTGTAGTAATGAAGTAGTCTTGAAGACTTCAAAATTAGTTTCCTCCTTGTTTTGCTATTTGATGGTGACTGGGTATACTTGGCATTTGTGTTGTCCTCTCCCCACATCTAAATCTTCTTGGTTTCTTTCACAGATAATTGGATTTGGATCAGCCCTGCTTGAGGAGGTAGATCCCAATCCTGCTAACTTTGTTGGTGCTGGTATCATACACACAAAAACCACTCAGATTGGATGCTTGCTGCGCCTTGAACCCAACCTCCAGGCACAGGTATCTGTGTAAATATCACCAGCTTAGATGCAAGTTCTCATTTGAACTAAAAATTTCTGTGTATCTGAAACTCCTTTAAGATATTTTAAAATAACTGTTACAATAGCTGCTTATGACTGCAGACTCCAACAAGAAATTAAATTTTAGCAGCTGGTCATGGCCCAGCTGGGTAAGCTGCTTCTTCAGAACAATTCTCTTTTCCTCTTGGAAGAGATTGTTGTAATATTCCAGACTGTCTTTTGCACTTTGGACCAGATTAAGCATGCTTCGTTTTGCTATTTTAAAGGAATAAAAGAGTAATTGGCTAAAAGAGAAAGCATAAGCAAGGAAGTACAATGTAAAGAGTATTTTTGCTAAAGCTTTTTTGACAGTGTTACCAAAATTAACTGAGGATTAAAAACAGGGTTTGGGTGGGTGTGTCTTCTGTTCCCTGAAGTGGTTGTACAGGGTCTTTAGACTTTTCCAGAGCATTTGCTCCTCTTTAACAGATATTCTGGATAATACCTTTCTGTTAAAACCCAAAAATACTTGAGTAGCAATAATTCGCAACAAGGGTTTGAAGATAGGGTTGTTTCAGCCAGTGGTTTGAAAAAGCTGTGTTGCTCAATGGCTTGCTGCCTCTGAGTGTTTTGAGATCCTTTTCCTAACAAAGCTTACAAAGCAAGTAAGAGGTAACTTAGTTTTCACTGTTGAATGTGCGTTCCTTTAATGCCAAACTGTTTAAATAGTATTATTTTATGTTCTTTTTCAGATGTATAGGCTCACACTACGAACAAGTAAAGAAGCTGTATCTCAGAGATTATGTGAATTGCTGTCAGAACAGTTTTAATATTAACCATGTCAGTTTTGGTTTTTCCACTTATATCACTGTCATCATACTGCAAATAAATGTCTTGTACATCACTGTCTGAGTACTGCAATGTTAACCAATACCAGCTCCCTGCCTTAATAGGACTTGACCCTTGTTTGAAATTAAGACTATAAAATGTACAGGGAAATTACTTTTTCCATTAAAAATGGCTTTTAGTGCGTTACATAAAGGGTGGGAGGGCTGTCTTTTGCTCCTTTTTTTGCAGAGGTCAGGCTTTTAAACTCGTTGAAGGGAAATTATTTTAGTTGTGGCAATCAAGAATTTCAGCTTAAAATAGCTCAAAAACCTTCTGCTTCAGTACCTTTAAGAGATACTTCCTTTGCTCTGAGCTGAAAGAAACCAATGTACTGCTGCTCGGGAAGGTTAAGTCCCATGCTAATGTAGAGTCAAAACTTTGTAAAGCTGAATATTGCCACAAGTTGTCTACTGGATGGAAGGGCAGATTTGAAGATGTGTTTGAATCTGATTAAAGTGAAGATTTATGTTGTGTCGCCAATCTTTGTATTTGAAAAATGCCACAGGACCAGATACTTAAAAGTATTAATCTTGCAATATTTTACATCCTAATGTTTTCTGATCTTTGGATTGAACACAAAAGCTATTCTTAATCCTCCTGCTTATCTCCATTAATGAGGTGAGCTTCTCTGGTAGGGGGTGAATGAGTATATACTTGTTTGTTGTTTCTCAGTGAAGTTAAATATTCTGTTCTGTGTTTCTTCTGTTTGCCATCAGACTTGACAAGTAATAGTCCTAATGATGTGATACCATTAACTGCAGAAGCTAGTACTGTATAAAAGAAGTGGGAAGAAATGGGCCCTTGAAGGGCTGTAAGGCATGCACTCTTAGGTGAAAATGTAATTTTAATCAATATCTTTTCCCCAGTGTACATTAATGTACAGACTCAAGAGGTTAAGTATCTGATACCTAAGCAGTTTCCTTCCTGTCAGTGGTAAAAATGTCCAACATGGTATAGAAAAATTCTGTTGAAACTGAAAGTAGAAGACCCAAAAATGTTCAGCTTTTCTATAGGTTTTTACAGCTGAAGTCTTTGTACCTTGTTTCACATCAAACTCTTTGCAGCCTCTCTGCGGAAGTCAGTGGACAGAAACTTTGGCTCATGCTTCTCAAGCCTTGATGTGCAACAGAAGCTGCTAAACCAAAGCAGGTGAGGTGGCCCAGTTAGAAACCCTGGGCTGGTGTCAGCAAGAGCTACAGATCATGGTGAACAAAATCAGCTACTGCTGACAGGAGAAAGGAACCTCAGGTCAAGATTTCCTCATGGTCATTGAAAGGAAGCCTGGGACTGCTGTTTCACAACACATACAGACAAACGTGCCCAGGAAATGAAGGTGTTGAGTCATGGTGGTGATACTGAAAATACATTTAGATGAGGCTGCTTTCATGCTGCCCATGCTCAGCAGTTGACAGGATTCTCCATGATTGAGTGTGCCTTGCTTTTTGTCTTCAGTGCTTTGAGCTTAATTATGGAACTGGGAGATTGTCACTTGGTTTGGCTGATCATACTTGAGTAAAAGTGAAAAATGAGGAACAAAGGTTTGGCTGTGATGTGTGAATTTTGGGGGATGTGTTTTGTTTTTCCAGAAATGGCTAGTAACTATGGATATTAAAGCTGAAAACTAGGCTAAAGGCCTGGTCTTTCTGCAAAAGTTCTCTTGAACAATTGGCCCCTTTAAGACTTTTCAAATTCTTCTTACTTAAGACTCTTTAATCATAAATACCGTCATTGAAAATCTTGGTGAGTGGTTCCTGCGGTCAGGTTGGGCTGTTGACAAATACTGTTGGAATACCTTTTGTTTTGGCTTCATGATGTTCTGTGTCTCATTATTAGTCCTGTTATGTTAACCATGCTCTTGGCTGCTCTGTTAAAATCTGATGTGCTGAACTAAAGGGAGTCTTAGCAAAGACAGAGGAGGAGGTTCTCTTTTGTATTTTCCAAATCCTATTGTATATCTGTTCCCCTGAAAAATGCTCTGTGCCCTCATTAAAGGACACCTTGAGACACTGCACTACTTTATTTCACTTTGCTTTGGTTCAAGCTGTGCTAAAATGTGCATTAAAATGTGGGAAGGAGGGGGGGTAAGGGAAAGTGTCTTTTCAGTGGTGACTGTGTTAAGCTTATGACTGTTCACTCTTTGTATTAAATGTCAGCTCAATGAAGCCATGAGCAGAAAAGTGAACAAATTAAAGACAAATACTTGATTTTATTTTTTTGTGAATGATGGTTAACTTACCAGTGATGTATCCTGTCAAGCAGACAAAGTAATTTCTGCAGTAAACAGTGTTATTGTTTTTAAGTGCAGTATTTTCAGGCATTGACATGTGAAAATAACTGAATAGCAAAACAGGTAGCATATGTTCATTCTTGACCTACACTCCAGTATGTAACATTTATGGTGATTGTCTTATTTGTATAAAACAAAGTTCTGTCAAATTAAGTGGAGAATTTTCATATAGAAGACTATATATTAGACTATATTCATCAGAAGAACATATTAAGATTAAATAAATGATTAGAACAGTGATGAAACTGTCCTTTTTTTGTCTGGGGGCATGAAGGTGTAAAAAGTATTCTCATGGAATTGTTGTAGAACACATTTGCTGTGATTCTTTTATGAGAAGTACGGGTGGGTTTATTCATTGGAATCTTACCTGGTCTACAGATTTCTGCTTCCCCAGTGAGTGAGTTTGATTTTGTTCTTGTTTGGTTACAAGTTATAAATAACTCTGTTTTAAAAAAGCCCCAGCTGTAAAATCTTTCTCCCTAGAGTGTTTAACAACAGTAAGTATGTGAGCAGTACTTGCTGCAGTATACTGCTCTAATAGCAGGGTAGGGTTGAGGCTAAGCAGCACACACCTGTATTGCATGTAGGGTTGATGGCACTGTAGAAAAAGAGTCATCTGCACTTGCTAAAAGGGAAAAAGGCACTCCGAGGTTTTCTGCAATAATACAGCTCTTAAATGACTTGCAAACGAAGTAAAGATTGCCTAGAGTCACAGCAAGTAGAATTCGCTTGTGAGTGAACCACTTATATCCTGTTAGATGGCTGTGGGCTTTGATTTCTTGCAGATAAATGTCTTCAGCTTCCTGCTTTATCCCAAAGCTGCTCTGTGTGTGTTAGTTACATTTCTAGAAATGTCCCACCATGCTAAGGGAAACATCCCCATTCACCTTTGGGTCATGTAGCACCTTGCTTTCCAACCCTGTTATCTGTGACTGATGAGCACATATGCTGTGTCCACCTTCAAAGGCCAGAACTGGTCACTTCCTTTCTCCCACTCAGGCAGTGTGCTCTTCCATAGGGCCAAGTTAACTGTAGTGAATCTAGTAAGACTATTTTTCAGTTAAAATAATTGGTCAAAAAAGGAGAAAGAAGTTAGCAAATTCAGTTCCTTCTGCTTTATTTGAACATTGAATTTCTGTTACTGCCCAGTGCTTGGGCCAGGTTTTAACTTCTGGTTGAATAAATCACCCTGAGAAAGGCCAAACAGTTTCTTGACTTCCCTCGTGATCCACATCCTGAGCCTGTTCTTTATTTCTGTTGCCTGTTCTTTCTTTCCTCCTCTGCACCCCACCCTGTTCCTGATCAGGAATAATTTATCTGGTACTTCCATTGGTAGTCCAGGCTGCTGCTCAGGCAGCCTGACAGCAAGGCTGTCCTGTGTAATCAGTACAAGAGAACCCAGCAATGAGCTGTGGAAAGATTAACTTGTGATCAGGATTTAATTACAAAAGATAGTATCTACAGCCACCAGGTCTGACTAGTGTGTGCAACTGTCAATGTCACACACGCAGCCACTCAATGCAATTATTTCTGTGGTGAGCCTTCTTCCAGGATTATCTGGGTCTTGGCATGGCAGTTGGAATTGCTTCTTAAGAAGTTCAAGTGGCCTACAGCAGCCACATGCTGTGTTGACAGTCATCTTCTCGATATCCAGCCTGTGTGGAAGGGAGGGATAATCAGTTGGCATTTGTTTACAGCATTTTAGGCTCACAGCCTTTCAAAGTATATTAACTTCTTTCTTTCCTATGGTAAGAGGTTTAGAGGAAAGAGCACAGCCCTCAGTTGAGTGGATCTGTCAACTTCAGGACTACAAATAATGTGGGAAATTACTCCATTTTAAGTTCTCTTGAGGCAGAAACTCTGGTGTACTCAGCTGCTGCCTTCCAGTTTAAAACAGGACAGACTTGATGATCCTTGTGGGTCCTTTCCAGCTCAGGATAGTCTGTGATTCTATGATTTCATCATCTGTTAGACTTCAGACCTCACTGGAAAACTAATAGAATTTTATTCCCCTGGTATCTTTTTGGCCTTCTGAGTATTTGTAAAGTACCTAGGGATTAAATTTGTTAAAGCTGCGCACTGGACTACTTAGAGTTTACAAAAGGTCTCTTTCACAAATGCTGAATTGAGTGTGTTCCTTTTGCAGTTCACAGAGGAAGGAGAACCCCTTTCTCCTCGGCACAGTCAGTGCTGGAATCTAAGGCGGTGGCTGTACGATGTCAGTTCTGGGTGTGAGGTCAGCTAACAAGGTAGAAGACTTGCACATAATTTCTGAATTCACAGTACAGGTAGGTGAAGTGAGAGCTTAAATAGGCAGGTAAGGATTTGAATCTGTCCTTATAGTACTGCAGTTCTTAGGCTGTTGATTCCTGACTGTGTTCAGCCTCCTGCTGGCCTTGATTCTGTCTTTCTCTTTGTCAGTGGGAAACTGCATCAGTATCAGGCCATAACTCAGGTATGGGAAAAAGAGAGTTAAGGAAAAAAGTATTTTTGGGAAAAACCTCTTTTGAAGCAGAGAAAAGTTTTCTTGGTTTCAGTTAAAACTGGGTTTTAACCACAACTTTCTTGGCAATTGAGACAAACCTTAACTCTAAAAGTCTTCCTCCAGGTGTCACAGTCCTTTTGTAAACTCTCAGGATAGAAGGTCAGTTGCTCAGTTTTCAAAATGATGGGGGACACTTAAATGTGCTTTGAAGGGGACAATTTTTAGCATAAGGATTAATTAAAATTAGTCCCTGCAAAAGCAAAACCATTCATTGTTTTCCATTCTTGAACTTTGTATTGGCTTGGATTATTGGGAATGTAACTTTTTTTTTTCCCCCCAATAACTGAACTCTAATACTGCTGCACTGTTTACTTGTATTGAAGCCTTGATTTCCTGAGAAGTCAGATTCTCCTAATGGGCAGCAGAACTGCACAGGCTCAGATAGTACCCTTGTAATTATAAAATATACCTGAATGACACTGTTAGGAGCATGTTATGAGACAACTGAAGTGGCATTAGTTACCTTAGATGAAATTTCTTATTTTACTGTCTTAGCTATTTGAAATAGATATTTATAGTCCAAACCATTTTTTCAGTCTTCAAAAAACAAACAAAACCACAACCCCAACCATCAAAATAACAAAATAGCCCTCCAAACTTGGAGTACTGATGTCTGGCTTTTCTTAAAGACAAAACAACAAAAACTTAAGGAAGTGAGATGACCTTCCTTGATTAGATGTAAATCCCTGCGTAATTAATGACCTTATTGTTGCTATTAACTAGTTTATGCAGCAACATTGTACACTGCTGGGTGGATGCTAACCACATTTTCCTCCCTGAATTATAAAGGCACAGTTGTTCATAAATTTCCCTACTTAGAGATGACCAAATAAGGAAAACAACTTTAGTACTGTACAGCCTCAGTTATTCTTACTTTGTTGAAGAGGGACATGATCCTTCACATCGGCTCAAAGTGACATTTGTGGAACAGCCTTTGTAAGTGATTTCTTCTTCATATTCAACTTCTCTACAATTCTCTGTCAAATGTAAAAAGAAAAAAATTCTGCTATAATTCATCTTGGTCTTCTTGAGTGACCTTTGTTAGATGCCCAAAGCCTCCATATTTGGTTTCCTGGAAAACCATTCTTATTGCATGAGATAATTAACAAGTCACAAGTGAGTTATATAGCAAGAGAAGATTTTGAACTGGGCACTAAAGTTTCAAGAGAGGCTTACCCTGGAGGACAACAACAACAAAAAAAAGAATAAAGTTCTTTTTTAAGAAAACAGAAGTTGTTGGAATTACAAATGAGCACCAAAAAAAAAAAAAAAAAAATCCTGTTAAGAATATAGTACACATTTGGTCCAGCATTAATCCTCTGCTGAGAACACAAAGATGCAAAGACAACAAACATTCTGGTAGAATTATTTCTGGTTCACAGACTTGACTTATTTGAAAATTGCTTAATTTACTCATTTTAAGGATATATTTATATATTTATAGGTAGCCAGAAATTCACAACTTGCCTTGCTGTGGAGAAAGTAATGCTACGTTAGGTAACAATTCTGTGTGTCAGTGTTGTATTTTCTCCTGCCTTGAAGCACCACACTAAGCACTTTATGAAGCAGAAAGCTGACTGAAAACAAGTTTTCCAAGGAGTTGAAAGATAGTATTTGAAGTTTATATTAAGGAGACAAAGATGTTGAAAACTATGAAGGAAATTCATACACTGCTCACATCTGGTCCTGTACAATGATATTTTAAGCACAGTCAGGTTCCCCGCTGAGAGAAAGGTTATAGATTATTGAACATTATTGCAGGGGAGGCTCAGTTAATGCTGTAGTATGGCTTTGGGATTTTTTTTATTAGAAAATAAGACAACTATTAACTGGGCAGTAGACTAAGACACTGTATCTATTGCCCAAGTGTGCAAAGCATGTGAGAGCTAACAGGAAGGCTGCAGGGTAATGAGGGGATAGCCTATTCCAATAAGAGGTTTCTTATATTGCTTTTTAAGATGGCAGAATAAAGGTTCTGTGGCTCTCCTGAAATGCATCCTGTCAGACTCTTTAACTCACAATTCTTAACATTTAAAATACTGAATAACAGGGAACCTGTATGAAGTCTAAGATGTCATATAATAGCTTTAGAAAAATAACTGCAGAAAGAAAAGATGGAGCCAATGGGTACAAACAGGATCATAGCCAAAGGATATGTAAAAAAAATTCATACACTCATCCAAAAAAAGGCGTTAAAAGCAAATCCATGATAAAGGAAATTATATGGAATACATTACCATGTGGCACTGTTGATGGCATGACAGAGGACAGGGATGTTGAAAGTCCAGAAGTGAGAGAAGAAGATGATGTCGTGCGGGCAGTGGTCAGTGTTGTTGTGCGCAGGGAACTCTGTTCAACTGACTGTGTAGACGCCATTGTGATAACATGGGGAGCAAAGGTAATAGTTGTAGATAAAACAGTTGGGATCAAAGCTGGCCTAGACTGGGTAGAGATACTAGTAGGGACAGAAGATGTTTTGCCATGTGGAGTCAATGTGGTGTTTTCGAAGTAAGAATGTGTAGTGCTCTCAGACCTAAATGTGGAAGTAGTCGGGGATGTAGGCACAGACATTGTGCTGACGGTTGAGGCCGAAGCAGACGAGAATGGAGACATGGCAGTGGATGGCAGCTGGGTGCTAAGTGGGCTGCTGGGGACATGCGGAGAGCTGGGATGTGGAGAGGTTTCCAAAGGCACTTCTGTGGAGACAGAGGTCTTGGAGGTGCTGGCCATGGTCTGATGTGTGGTCACAGGTGGCGCAATGTGTGGCACCGTTGACTGTTCATGCGGGAAAGCTGCCAGGAGGAAGGCACAGGTAAAACTCAGGATGCCCACCTGGACACTTCTCTCCCCTTATTCAGACATGGGGAGAGAATCAGTAACACCAAAGCAGGAACAACCACACATGTCCAGAGAGAGACAGTTTTTAGAAGTGAAGAAATTAAAAGCCAAATGAGGATCCACTGATGAGGTACAAAGGCAGTCACTCACAACATTGCACCACTTGCCAATATCCAGCCAGTCTCCAAGCAATGGCTACTTGGCAGTAACTGCCCTATTCTCACACTGTACAGCTCAGCATGATATTCTGTGGTATGCAGTGTCTCCTTGGACACGGGCTTTGGGCCAGCTATGCTGGCTGTGTCCCTGATGGACCTGTGACCACCCCATGCCCACTCCCTGGCTGACAGAAGGACAAAGAGAGGGGACCAGGGGTGGAGCTGGCATTCCTGAGCAACCACCAAAGCACTTGGTGCGATCAACACAGGCTGGGACTCACATCTAAAACACAGTACCAGGAAATGTGCTGGGAACAATAATTAGCTCTATCCCAAGCAGAGCCAGTGCACAGGCCCAAGACTACACTGGGAAACCAAGCTGGTTGATTGCAAAGTAATATAGGGGTAAGCAGCCACACAAATGCAGAAGTTGAATGTGGTTTTTGATAGAAACAATGGAGATAGGGAGGATTGGTGGAGTGACTGAAATAAGGAGAGCTTGAAAGAGCAAGCAGAAGGATGGCTAGGAAGCCTTACCAGGCTGTGAGGAGCTAAGCCATGTTGAGGACACAGTTGAGGAAGGAGAAGAAGCAGGTGATGGCAGCGTGCTGGTTTTGACTGTGGTGGGTGCAGAGGACTCTGTAACAGGCAATTCCTTTGCAGCACTGGTTGTTGGGGAAGAGGTCTTGGGCCTCAGGGTTGTAGGTGTGGGCCTGGGGATGGTGCTGGGAGCTGCTGTGGAGGATGCTGTGGAAGTGGTGGCAGTGGATGGCAGCCGGGTGCTGAGCGGGCTGCTGGGGGCAGGCAGAGAGCTGGGATGTGGAGAGGCCGTTTCCAGAGGCACTTCTGTGCTGCTTGGTGGGCTGGCTCCAGTGGAGACAGAGGTCTTGGAGGTGCTGCTGATGGAGGTGGTGGCTGTGGTCTTGTGCGTGGTCACAGGTGGCCCAATGTGTGGCACAGTTGACAGTTCATGGGTGAAGGCTGCTGGGAGTAGAGCACAGAGCTTTTGAGGATGAGGGCAGCAAAAGCTGGAAAGGGAGGTGGTCAGTTGCCGCGGGTTTAGAATATCAACAAAACCAACAGGGCTGTGCTGCACTTATTCCCTAGGAAGAAGGGAGCACTGATACTGTGGGTCCTGCCTACAGGCTGTCTGGTTTCTGTCTTTTTTAAAAGGGAGGAAATGGATACAGTGCCTTCCAACAGGCAACATTCCACTACCTATTCCTGGAAAAGGACTCTCTGTGAATTTGCCCATGTCCCTTTAAGGAAGAGGCAGAGCTTAAGGACAGTCCCCTCCCAGACTGTCAGTTCAAGATCCATGGGAGAGACCAGTGTCTCAGAGTCCTACCTAAGTAAGGCCATACTACGGTCCCAAAGCTGAAAGAAGGGCAAACGGTGAACAAAAACACAAACAACTCTGAAAGGAACCTGTGTGGCAGGACAGAAAGAATCAAAAATGGAGTTCAGGCAGGAGCCTACCAGGGTGTGAGGAGCTGAGCCTTGTTGAGGACACAGTTGAGGAAGGAGAAGAAGCAGGTGATGGCAGCGTGCTGGTTTTGGCTGTGGTGGGTGCAGAGGACTCTGTTATAGGAGACTCCTTTGCAGCACTGGTTGTTGGGGAAGAGGTCTTGGGCCTCAGGGTTGTAGGTGTGGGCCTGGGGCTGGTGCTGGGAGCTGCTGTGGAGGATGCTGTGGAAGTGGTGGCAGTGGATGGCAGCTGGGTGCTGAGCGGGCTGCTGGGGGCAGGCAGAGAGCTGGGATGTGGAGAGGCCGTTTCCAGAGGCACTTCTGTGCTGCTTGGTGGGCTGGCTCCAGTGGAGACAGAGGTCTTGGAGGTGCTGCTGATGGAGGTGGCGGCTGTGGTCTTGTGCGTGGTCACAGGTGGCCCAATGTGTGGCACAGTTGACAGTTCATGGGTGAAGGCTGCTGGAAGTAGAGCACAGAGCTTTTGAGGACGAGGGCAGCAAAAGCTGGAAAGGGAGGTGGTCAGATGCTGCAGGTTTAAGATATCAACAAAACCAACAGGGCTGTGCTGCACTGAGTATTCCCTGGGAGGAAGAGAACACGGAGACTCTACAAACTGTCTGGTTTCTGTCTTAAAAGAAAGGAAATGGATACAGTGCCTTCCAACAGGCAACATTCCACTACCTATTCCTGGAAAAGGACTCTGTGTGAATTTGGATGTGTCTCTTTAAGGTACAGACTGAGCTTAAAGACTGGCAGTTCAAGCTCCATGGGAGAGATCTGCGTCCCAGAACCCTAAGTATGGCCATGCCAGTGTTCCAATGCAGAAACAAATGGGATAGAGAGGAAAAACTAAAACAACACTTCAAGCAACCTGCGTCGCTGGTAAGGATGAGTGGAAAAATTGAGAGAAGCAGGAAGTACCAAGATGGGTAGGGAGGAGCTTTACCTGGCCGTGAGGAGCTGAGCGTTCTTGAGGACACAGTTGAGGAAGGAGAAGAAGCAGGCGATGGCAGCGTGCTGGTTTTGACTGTGGTGGGTGCAGAGGACTCTGTTACAGGAGACTCCTTTGCAGCACTGGTTGTTGGGGAAGAGGTCTTGGGCCTCAGGGTTGTAGGTGTGGGCCTGGGGCTGGTGCTGGGAGCTGCTGTGGAGGATGCTGTGGAAGTGGTGGCAGTGGATGGCAGCCGGGTGCTGAGCGGGCTGCTGGGGGCAGGCAGAGAGCTGGGATGTGGAGAGGCCGTTTCCAGAGGCACTTCTGTGCTGCTTGGTGGGCTGGCTCCAGTGGAGACAGAGGTCTTGGAGGTGCTGCTGATGGAGGTGGCGGCTGTGGTCTTGTGTGTGGTCACAGGTGGCCCAATGTGTGGCACAGTTGACAGTTCATGGGTGAAGGCTGCCAGGAGGAAAACAGCTCAGTTGAGGATGAATACAAGAAGAGTAGGAAATGGAGGTGGTCAGAGCACTCATATTGTGGATAGAATTTAAAATGGGATGCCAGTTCAGCAGTGAGTATTTCTGGGAAAAAAAGGAACACTGGGATTATGAGTCTTCTCCACAAGCCACTGTCTGGCTTCTTTCCTAAAATGGAGGAAATGCATATAGTAGCTTCCAACAGGCAAGATCTCAGTACCCGTTAGTGGAAGAGTACCCTGTCTGGATATGCATATCTCCATTCAGTAACTAGGCAGAGCATAAAGTCAGTCTCCTTTAAGAAAGGAAGATTCCATGGGAAAGAGAAGTGCCCCAGAACCTTAAACAAGTAAGACCTTACTAGTGTCCCAAATCAGAAAGAATGGGGGAATTTGGAGCAAAAACTAGAACAACTGTACAAGCAACCTATGTGGCTGGTAAGGATGAATGGAAAAGTGAGAGATAGGGAAAGCAACAGGATGGGTGGGAGGAAGCCTTACCAGGCTGCGAGGAACTGAGCCTTGTTGAGGACACAGTTGAGGAAGGAGAAGAAGCAGGTGACGGCAGTGTGCTGGTTTTGACTGTGGTGGGTGCAGAGGACTCTGTTACAGGCGACTCCTTTGCAGCACTGGTTGTTGGGGAAGAGGTCTTGGGCCTCAGGGTTGTAGGTGTGGGCCTGGGGCTGGTGCTGGGAGCTGCTGTGGAGGATGCTGTGGAAGTGGTGGCAGTGGATGGCAGCCGGGTGCTGAGCGGGCTGCTGGGGGCAGGCAGAGAGCTGGGATGTGGAGAGGCCGTTTCCAGAGGCACTTCTGTGCTGCTTGGTGGGCTGGCTCCAGTGGAGACAGAGGTCTTGGAGGTGCTGCTGATGGAGGTGGTGGCTGTGGTCTTGTGCGTGGTCACAGGTGGCCCAATGTGTGGCACAGTTGACAGTTCATGGGTGAAGGCTGCTGGAAGTAGAGCACAGAGCTTTTGAGGATGAGGGCAGCAAAAGCTGGAAAGGGAGGTGGTCAGATGCTGCAGGTTTAAGATATCAACAAAACCAACAGGGCTGTGCTGCACTGAGTATTCCCTGGGAGGAAGAGAACACGGAGACTCTACAAACTGTCTGGTTTCTGTCTTAAAAGAAAGGAAATGGATACAGTGCCTTCCAACAGGCAACATTCCACTACCTATTCCTGGAAAAGGACTCTGTGTGAATTTGGATGTGTCTCTTTAAGGTACAGACTGAGCTTAAAGACTGGCAGTTCAAGCTCCATGGGAGAGATCTGCGTCCCAGAACCCTAAGTATGGCCATGCCAGTGTTCCAATGCAGAAACAAATGGGATAGAGAGGAAAAACTAAAACAACACTTCAAGCAACCTGCGTCGCTGGTAAGGATGAGTGGAAAAATTGAGAGAAGCAGGAAGTACCAAGATGGGTAGGGAGGAGCTTTACCTGGCCGTGAGGAGCTGAGCGTTCTTGACGACACAGCTGAGGAAGGAGAAGAAGCAGGCGATGGCAGCGTGCTGGTTTTGGCTGTGGTGGGTGCAGAGGACTCTGTTACAGGAGACTCCTTTGCAGCACTGGTTGTTGGGGAAGAGGTCTTGGGCCTCAGGGTTGTAGGTGTGGGCCTGGGGCTGGTGCTGGGAGCTGCTGTGGAGGATGCTGTGGAAGTGGTGGCAGTGGATGGCAGCCAGGTGCTGAGCGGGCTGCTGGGGGCAGGCAGAGAGCTGGGATGTGGAGAGGCCGTTTCCAGAGGCACTTCTGTGCTGCTTGGTGGGCTGGCTCCAGTGGAGACAGAGGTCTTGGAGGTGCTGCTGATGGAGGTGGCGGCTGTGGTCTTGTGCGTGGTCACAGCTGTCACAGAAGGTGGCATGGTCAACATTTTATGGGGGAAAGCTGCCAGGAAGGAAGCAGAGGTCAGTTGTGGATGAGTATAAGAAAAAAAGAGAAATGTGTCTATTCAGAGGCTTTAGATTGCTAATGTTAACAAAAACAGCAAAGCTGTGCTGTACTGAGTATTCCAGGGGAAAAGGGAACACTTCTACTGTGGGTCCTGTCTACAAGCTGCTGTCTGGATTCTTTAACAAAAAGGGAGGAAATGGATACAGTGCCCTCCAACAGGCAACATCCACTTTCTGGAAAAGGACCCTGTGTGAATATGCATGTGTCTGTCCCTTCAAGGAATAGGCAGAGCTTAAGGAGAGTCCCCTCTGAGACTGGCAGGCCAGGCTGCATGGCAAAAAGAAGTGCCCCAGAGCCATAACAATACCATACCAGTGTTCTAATGCGGAAACAAAGGGGATAGAGAGCAAAAACTCAAACAACTCTGTAAGGAACCTGGCTGGCAAAGATGTGGAAATGATGTGTGGCTGGTAAGGATGAGTGGAAAAAGGGAGAGAAGCAGGAGGGACCAGGATGGGTAGGGAGGAGCCTTACCAGGCTGTGAGGAACTGAGCCTTGTTGAGGACACAGCTGAGGAAGGAGAAGAAGCAGGTGATGACAGCGTGCTGGTTTTGACTGTGGTGGGTGCAGAGGACTCTGTTACAGGAGACTCCTTTGCAGCACTGGTTGTTGGGGAAGAGGTCTTGGGCCTCAGGGTTGTAGGTGTGGGCCTGGGGCTGGTGCTGGGAGCTGCTGTGGAGGATGCTGTGGAAGTGGTGGCAGTGGATGGCAGCCGGGTGCTGAGCGGGCTGCTGGGGGCAGGCAGAGAGCTGGGATGTGGAGAGGCCGTTTCCAGAGGCACTTCTGTGCTGCTTGGTGGGCTGGCTCCAGTGGAGACAGAGGTCTTGGAGGTGCTGCTGATGGAGGTGGCGGCTGTGGTCTTGTGTGTGGTCACAGGTGGCCCAATGTGTGGCACAGTTGACAGTTCATGGGTGAAGGCTGCTGGAAGTAGAGCACAGAGCTTTTGAGGACGAGGGCAGCAAAAGCTGGAAAGGGAGGTGGTCAGATGCTGCAGGTTTAAGATATCAACAAGACCAACAGGGCTGTGCTGCACTGAGTATTCCCTGGGAGGAAGAGAACATGAAGACTCTACAAACTGTCTGGTTTCTGTCTTAAAAGAAAGGAAATGGATACAGTGCCTTCCAACAGGCAACATTCCACTACCTATTCCTGGAAAAGGACTCTGTGTGAATTTGGATGTGTCTCTTTAAGGTACAGACTGAGCTTAAAGACTGGCAGTTCAAGCTCCATGGGAGAGATCTGCGTCCAAGAACCCTAAGTATGGCCATGCCAGTGTTCCAATGCAGAAACAAATGGGATAGAGAGGAAAAACTAAAACAACACTTCAAGCAACCTGCGTCGCTGGTAAGGATGAGTGGAAAAATTGAGAGAAGCAGGAAGTACCAAGATGGGTAGGGAGGAGCTTTACCTGGCCGTGAGGAGCTGAGCGTTCTTGAGGACACAGTTGAGGAAGGAGAAGAAGCAGGCGATGGCAGCGTGCTGGTTTTGACTGTGGTGGGTGCAGAGGACTCTGTTACAGGAGACTCCTTTGCAGCACTGGTTGTTGGGGAAGAGGTCTTGGGCCTCAGGGTTGTAGGTGTGGGCCTGGGGCTGGTGCTGGGAGCTGCTGTGGAGGATGCTGTGGAAGTGGTGGCAGTGGATGGCAGCCGGGTGCTGAGCGGGCTGCTGGGGGCAGGCAGAGAGCTGGGATGTGGAGAGGCCGTTTCCAGAGGCACTTCTGTGCTGCTTGGTGGGCTGGCTCCAGTGGAGACAGAGGTCTTGGAGGTGCTGCTGATGGAGGTGGCGGCTGTGGTCTTGTGTGTGGTCACAGGTGGCCCAATGTGTGGCACAGTTGACAGTTCATGGGTGAAGGCTGCCAGGAGGAAAACAGCTCAGTTGAGGATGAATACAAGAAGAGTAGGAAATGGAGGTGGTCAGAGCACTCATATTGTGGATAGAATTTAAAATGGGATGCCAGTTCAGCAGTGAGTATTTCTGGGAAAAAAAGGAACACTGGGATTATGAGTCTTCTCCACAAGCCACTGTCTGGCTTCTTTCCTAAAATGGAGGAAATGCATATAGTAGCTTCCAACAGGCAAGATCTCAGTACCCGTTAGTGGAAGAGTACCCTGTCTGGATATGCATGTCTCCATTCAGTAACTAGGCAGAGCATAAAGTCAGTCTCCTTTAAGAAAGGAAGATTCCATGGGAAAGAGAAGTGCCCCAGAGCCTTAAACAAGTAAGACCTTACTAGTGTCCCAAATCAGAAAGAATGGGGGAATTTGGAGCAAAAACTAGAACAACTGTACAAGCAACCTATGTGGCTGGTAAGGATGAATGGAAAAGTGAGAGAAAGGGAAAGCAACAGGATGGGTAGGAGGAAGCCTTACCAGGCTGTGAGGAACTGAGCCTTGTTGAGGACACAGTTGAGGAAGGAGAAGAAGCAGGCGATGGCAGCGTGCTGGTTTTGGCTGTGGTGGGTGCAGAGGACTCTGTTACAGGAGACTCCTTTGCAGCACTGGTTGTTGGGGAAGAGGTCTTGGGCCTCAGGGTTGTAGGTGTGGGCCTGGGGCTGGTGCTGGGAGCTGCTGTGGAGGATGCTGTGGAAGTGGTGGCAGTGGATGGCAGCCGGGTGCTGAGCGGGCTGCTGGGGGCAGGCAGAGAGCTGGGATGTGGAGAGGCCGTTTCCAGAGGCACTTCTGTGCTGCTTGGTGGGCTGGCTCCAGTGGAGACAGAGGTCTTGGAGGTGCTGCTGATGGAGGTGGTGGCTGTGGTCTTGTGCGTGGTCACAGGTGGCCCAATGTGTGGCACAGTTGACAGTTCATGGGTGAAGGCTGCCAGGAGGGAAGCACAGGTCAGTTGCGGATGAGGGCATAAGGAGGAGGCAAATGTGCTCGCTGTAGCCTCGGACAGGGAGCACAAATATCAACAACTTCAGCATGCTGCACTGAATATTTATCTGAAAGAAGGAGGTGGGACTAAGGGCTCTGGCCTATTCCTGCCCTCCTTTTTTCCCATAAAAGGGGAGGAAAAGGACATGCTGCTTTCCAATAGGCAAGATGCCTCTTGCACTTTCTGGAAGCAGACCGTGGGTGAATATGCAGGTCTCCCAAGGAAAAGGAGCACATTAAAGTCTGCCCACTTCAGAACTGACATGGTGGCCAGTGTGGGATGACTGGACCCCCAGAGTGATGCCAAATGACAACCACATTACACTGCTGATTCAAAAAGCAGTGGGAATGGAGAGCAAATTTAAAGAAAATATGTGTGTGGTCTGCAGTGGTGGAAATGAAAAAGAGAAGAGGGAGAGCAGGCAGGCGCAGCAGGACAGGTAAGAGGTAGCCTTACCAGGCTGTGAGGAGCTGACTATTGTTGAGGATACAGTTGAGGAGGGAAAAGAAGCAGGCGATGGCAGCGTGCTGGTTTTGGCTGTGGTGGGTGCAGAGGACTCTGTTACAGGAGACTCCTTTGCAGCACTGGTTGTTGGGGAAGAGGTCTTGGGCCTCAGGGTTGTAGGTGTGGGCCTGGGGCTGGTGCTGGGAGCTGCTGTGGAGGATGCTGTGGAAGTGGTGGCAGTGGATGGCAGCCGGGTGCTGAGCGGGCTGCTGGGGGCAGGCAGAGAGCTGGGATGTGGAGAGGCCGTTTCCAGAGGCACTTCTGTGCTGCTTGGTGGGCTGGCTCCAGTGGAGACAGAGGTCTTGGAAGTGCTGCTGATGGAGGTGGTGGCTGTGGTCTTGTGCGTGGTCACATGTGGCCCAATGTGTGGCACAGTTGACAGTTCATGGGTGAAGGCTGCCAGGAGGGAAGCACAGGTCAGTTGTATGTTGTTGGCTTATGAGAAGTTGGGTGATATTGACTCCTCTATTTTTTTGAGGTTTTGTGCTCAGTTATGGGCCAGGATGGGAGGCTTAGTTCCCACTAAATCTGGTTGGTATAGGGTTTTTGTTTTTTTCAGTTAGTAAAGGTGTCCATTATCCTAAATATGTCCCATCCTGTCCTGCTTTTCTTTCGTAAGTACTTGCTGCTAACTATTTTGAAGGTTGACCTCTAGCAGTTTGTCTAATCTCATTCTTCCTGGAGCATTTGAGTAGGGAAGAGGTATCATTTGTTTACTGGTCGTTTAGAGCTGGCTTTCTGCAGTCCTCTGGGAGGGATCCATGGGAGGGCTGTGGCTACTGAAGGGATATGGATGTATTGGCTGGGGATAATTCTTATCTCTTTCATGACCAGAGCACTCACCTGTTACTACTTTAGTAGTTGGTGTCTTAGCTCTGGTTGGCTCCCTTGCTACAAAGAAAGGGATGAGAGAAAAGAATGATTGAGTCTTGGGAAGGATTCTAGGCAAAGCATGTTGCGGCATCTCCCCAGAGGAGATCAAGACTAAGACAACTCTGGCATGTGGGTCTGACTCAGAGAACTGGAGTGAAAGCCTGGAGTTGAGTGTACACTTTCTTGCCCACCCTCCACTGGCGACTCTTACACTCAGGGTCAGCATTGGCCCATGAGGTCATATTTGTTGAACAGCAATTTTCTTGGATGTGCCAGGGCCTAGGCATCCTTTGGCTGGAGATGATGCCTTGGGTTATGCCTCTCACTCAGAACTGTCCTGAGCTGTAAACAGGAGATGTATTTCCAGTTTCCCTGCCTTTTGTTCACCCCTGTCCCACTGTGCATTCTCAGGGCAGCACTGTAAGAAGAGAGAGGTATTTTAGCTTGTATCTGATTGGTAGCTATAGGGCAGGAACTCATGGATGCCTGAACTCTCATAGAGGCCTGTGCCCTAGAGCCAAAGCCCTGAAGTTGCAGGGAGAAGGACACAGTCAGGGTCATGTGTGGGTCAGGCCCAGGGCCTGCTGGTGTCCCATGGCAATAGCAGGGGGAAATTGAGAACGAGTACCAAAACTTAAGCCTTTGTGGGATGTGCTGCTTAGAAGAGACGGGTGGGAGCTGGAAGAAGCAGGCAGAGCAGCAAGAAGGGCAGGAGGGAGCCTTACCAGGATATGATGTTCCCAGCTGGGTTGAGGAGAGGGAAGAAGCAGATGAGGCTGAAGTGACAGGCAAAGAACTGGAGCTTGGAAATGTTCTTGTCAGTGGAACTTCTGGACTAGTGGCCAGGCTGGTCTCTCTCGGGACAGAGGTGCTGCTGGTGGATGTGCCAGGGGTGGTCTGTGTCTGGGTGACGAGGTGCTGCACAGGCTGTGTCACTTTTGTTCTTATGTGGGTAACTACTGCAGAGAGAAAAGCACAAGTTGATTGAGGGTGAGTCTGAAGGGTGCCTCTGACAATTTGACACTCCCTGTCTTTTTCTGAAGCTCCTGAGGAAAGAAGAGCCTGGTTGGATGCACGTTTCCCCTCCCAAGTATTCCAAACTGGGCAAAACCATCATCTGGAAAAGCTGAGATAAGTGAAGCAGAGTCTTAGGCCAAGGGCATCTCTCTAGTCCTGTTTACTCACCTTCTGGGTAGTGCAGAGTGGTTGCTTCGGTTCCCTCACTCTCTGTGGTGAAAGAATGAATATTAGTAATGGCTGGGAGCTGGTGAGCTTCCTAGAGGAATTTGTAATTGCTTGCACAAGAAGACCCAGATATATGCACCCAACAGTACTCTGTGGGAGAAACCTGTATTTGGAAAAGAGTGTACAATTGCCCTCCCACTACAGTAGACTTCCCACCACACGCTGTCCCAGCCTGTTGATTGCTAATGTAGTAATTCATGTTGCCATACAGCCTCAGAGGAGACTGTCCTTGTTTGTATATTTAGTGTCAGACATTCAAAAAGGTTATTATTTCTGGGGGAGTATTTCTTACAATGAGTAGGGGGAATATATATTCTGTGGTCTGTGAGTTTTGAAGAACTTGCTTTGAGGATAGAGAGATTTTGTCTAAATTTGGAGGAAGTGTTGGAAGAGATGCTAGCTAGCTAATGCTAGCTTTAACATCATATTTGGATGCCAGATGCTTGCTCCATTGGCAAGATAAATTTCCATTTTAATCACACTTCTTATCCATGTCCTTTCCTTTCTGTTTGCAATATTAAGACCTCTAGTAAGAATGCCTGAAGTTTTTTATAACGACTATATAGACATATGACTTGTGAGTGATGGCTTCACCTGACAGATGTAAGAAAGTGCTATTTACCTGCTGTTGTTAGTTGAGGCTGGCTGAAAGTTGTGCTCCAAGTTGTGGTTTGAGTAGGAATTGAGGAGGTTGCTGTTTCCCTTTTGGTGGTGGTCTTGAAGGATGGTGAGGTGACCCCTACTTGTTCTGTCTCTGTTGAAGCAGCGATTGATGAGGCAGAAGGTGATGAGGGAACAGACGTTGGTGTAGTGGCCATGGTTCTTTTCATTGAGGTAGTTATGGAAGGGGTAGTGATGGTTGTAGTCATGTTTGGTGTGGTAAAAATTGATGTTGTATGCTCTTTTGGAGTAAAGGTAAAAATATAATGTGAGTAACCAATTCATAGAAGAATTAAAACCAGATGAATTATAAAGAAGATATTTGTATTTTAGAGATAGTTTTTTATTTTTCAAATATTTTTAATATGACTGTTGTATTCATGTTCTCATACACTTACCAAATATTTCTGAGGTTATATTTGTTTTCTATTGTCTCATATCTGTCTTTGTTCTCATTTGCTGTATTTTTCTGTATTAGATTTGTTTAATATATAAGTAGTTAGCTTTGTTGTCACTTTGGGTAAAGTCTATATGGACTTTGTCCATTGGCTTTTATTATGTTCCAAATCAGCCACACTTGCAGCTTATGCAGTTTGTATTGAAAGGCTAAATAACATCACACTATAGACTCTCCTTGCCTCGATGCACAAATCATCTGTAACAATGTCAGCTTTTTACTCCTTTGGGACCTATTTTGACCTCTGCTTTTCCTGACAGCCATGGTCCAAGATGGTTTATTAGTTGAAGTGCATGTTGGTATGAGGCTAAATGAGGCTCCACAAGCCACAGAATCAGAAAGTAATTTATGCTGGCAGAGTCATCCTCCAGAGAACAGGACTTTAGAAGGCTAGACAAAGCTGCTACACTGATACCTGTGTGACTTTGCTTTGGGGCTTGCTTACATTATTCAGAGTCAATAGATTGGGTGCTCCTTGAACTCCATAAATGAACCAGTGGAAAAGAGGCTGAAGCTGAGCTAATAAACCCAACTGGAGCTGGGCTTGCTCACTGCTTATAGGACTTCTAATTGTGTTTCTCAGATGACTCACTTTTTGGTTGCATTTTTAACCTAATACCTATATCCTATATATTTTTATGCACTTTCAGTCTACACTTCTGGACAAATCTGGTTTACAAACTCCTTTCAGGAAGCCTGCTTTGCCTGTTTCATGATTTGGAGTTTAATGCTTGGATGGTGTGCAAATTTGAAATGCATTCCTAGGAATGGTATCTCAACAATGTACAGAGGTTTAGAACAAGTTTACAATAATTTATTTTAGACAATAACACTAAAAACCTACCAGTAGTTGACTTTATTGTGAAAAGAGGTTGTGAAGGTGAAGTTCTTGGAACCGTAATTTTTTCAGTTATTGTTGGATTTGTAGTCTCAAGTGATACAGTTGTTGCAGAAGAAGTACTAGGTACTGTTGGAAGTGAGCTTGTGGTAGAGCTCCTTGTTACTTTAGGCTGCACTGTTGTTACTAAGAAAAAAAATCAAAATTAGAAGATGAAATAGTCCTCAGTATGATAACATATATATATTAATGGAATTTTTCTAAAGTAAAACAAGCATTTTTATAGCTATTAGCAGTAGCTACTATTAAAACCCATTACCTTTTAGATTAAACCTTGAATAACTGTTATCCATTGCTTCCTTTGCTATTATGTGCAGTGAATACATTAAACAGGTATTCTTGGAGATGCTTTATACCTTTTTCTTCACTTTAAAGTGAATTTGGCATAAACAATTGTTCATATCAGCAGAATGGAACAATATTCCAATCATATATCAAATATTATCCATAATTTTATTATTCACACAACCCACAGCATAAAGTTTTCCAATACCATCTGTCTTCAGGGAAATTAAGAGAATTTCTAACAAATTTAAGATCAAGATATGTAGATTCCTTTCCTGTATCAGGCTATAGAGATTTGGTATAGTCAGTCACACATTTCCATCAAGACTTTCTTCAACTGTTAAAGTATTATATGGCCAGTCCCTAGTAAAGATTGGGCATAAAATTTTGTGAGATCCTTTTCATCATAGAATCATAGAATGACTTGGGGTTGGCTTAGACCATTAATAATAATCTAACCCACTCCCTCTGCAATGAGGGGAGGTGTGTTCAACTAGATCAGGTTGCACAAATGCCTCTCCATCCTTAATTGAATGCTTCCAGGTAAGGGGATTCAACAGTCTCTGCGGGAAACATCTTCCATTGTTTTTCCAGCCTCATCATAAACAACTACTTCCTTATATCTAGTCTGAATTTACTCTCTTCTGATTTAAAACCAATACCCCTTCTCCCATCACAACAGGTCCTACTTCAAAAGTCTATCTCCATCTTTCTTATAAGCCCCATTCTAGTATTGAAAAGTCACAAAGAGCTCTCCATGGACCCTTCTCCTTCCCATGCTGAACAACCCCAGATCTCTCAGCCTTTTCTCACAGGAGAGGTGTTCCAGCTCTCAGGTCATTTTTGTGTCCCTACTCTGTCTTCCTTGAATTAAAGACTGCAGAGCTGGACAGAGCATTTGAGGTGGGCTCTCGTCAGAGCAGAGCAGCACAGTACCCTCCCCTTCACCTGCTGGCCATGCAGCTTTTGACGCAGCCCAGGATATTGTGGTACCAGGGTATTTTTCATCATTTCACCTTACACATGTGAAACTGATGATGCTGCTATATCACACAGAAAAGGGCATTATTGATTTCAGAAACACTTATCAGGACATAATATCAGTGTGTAAGTTATAGAGTTGGTCACTGTGTAAACTAACCTGGTGAAGGTGAAGATGGTTCGGGTGTGGTGGTAATGTTTACTTGTCCTGTTACATAAAGACAAACCAGGTTATATTTGTGAATAAAAACATATTTTAATATCCCAGATAAGGCAAATCTCATCAGATGGATTCCAAGAACTGTGCTAATTACTGAGGTGTTCCTGAGAGTATTTAATCTTACATATTTCCATGGTCACAGTCACATCAAAGGACTTAATTACAAAGAAATCAATACATCTCATTATTATAATGAACACTAGTAAGTTTTTCCTATCTTTGTTATGACTTTTATGGCTAAGGGCACCTCAGTTTTCAGGGATAGTGGAACATGGTTTTGTATGTAAGGGAGATCACTAAAATCCTGGTCACACAAGAAAAAAATTTATAATGAGAATTTTGTTCTTAAGGTTTTTTAACATCTGCATGAAAATCCAAACTGCCCAGCTAGAATCTACCCAAAACCTTAATTAATAAGATAGGTTTTCATGAAAATAAGCCATATGGTAATGAACCTCAAGTTAATTTAAAAAAAAAAAATCTAGAAATATATTTATTGAGTCCAGTAGCTAAATCTGCTCTTCTGCTACACTCTTCCCTTTTTCTGTGAAATGTGTTGAATACCTCTGAGACTCATAGCTCTTCTGGGCCTGTGCCTCACACGGACTAGAACACCAATACTTTATTTTACAAGCAGTATAGTAATGAGTTTATTTTGAAAGGAAGTTATGTTTAGATGAACACTCATTTATGAGAGATACTATAAAAATATCTTCTCTGAGTCTGTGCAAATGTTGTAGTATGGTTTTCAAGTTACTGTGGAGAAAGCAATGCTGCTTACCACAAGGCATGCACCTTTCTTCTTCATGGTCAAAGTATTCATTGTGAGAGCAGTTGTAACAGCCTGAAGAAAGGGGAAGAGAAGTTTGTTTTACATTTCTCAGAGAAAGGCATTTAATTTACACTATTCATAATTGAATATATTATATATCTGTTATTAAAAATAGTATAAATTTTGACATCATCTATTCAGGTATTTCCAAGGCTATCGTCAGAAGGAGATTTTGTCTATGTTTCTCCAGCTATATCCATTTGTTTAATAAAAATATTAATTTCTCTCTCCATGTTTTCTTTCCTAAGTACAGTGCATTCTTTTGATTTGGTGCAAGTCAGAATTTCTCTTCCAGACAGGCTGAGTTTGATATAAAGCTAAATATAGTACATCTACTGGGTTAATTATATATTTAAAACACTACTGGTAAGGGAAATATGAGCAAAACTTCCTAAAAAATAACATCAATTAGATTATTATTATTTAACTGTGGTATGACTGATCTAGGACAAAAAAACAGCACTGAAAACAGTAGTAGAGGTTATTACCTTCAATATTGACATATTTGTAGTTTTGATTTGGACAGTTACAAGGCCTGTAGTGCCAGGTGCATTTGTCATCGTTGTAGCCATAGGAAAAAGCATCATCAATTCCTTTTCTTTTATGAGAATTGTAATACTCACAATAGACAGCTAAAGAAAGGACAAGCAAGAGAGAAGATTTTTCTTTTTCAAATTAATAGCATGATACTTCCAAAGTACTAGAAGGAAGACAAATTTAATTAACAGTTGGAATAAAAAAACCTTCACTGAAGTGATTAGCTTCTGATGTAAATATATATTTTAACTCGTGGAAGTCAGTTTCTTTTTTGCAAGTACGATGTGCAGACATTTCCACAACTTTTCATACACAATATATTGAAATGTGAAAGGAAATCCATCAAAGATGACAATTCTAACATTGATTTATAGCATGTTCATCCTCTTTTTTCCTTTGTATTTGCTGTTTTGGAACACCTTGATGTAATTTTCCTGTTTTACAGTGTTCCAGCCAACACAGCTGTCTACAGTCCCTTGACATCTACACAGAAATTGATTTCATCATAGCTCACATGAAACATTTTTTTACAATTTCATGCTTTCTCTGCTGGCAAACTCACAGTGTATTATACACTAATAGCAGAAGAAACAATCTGCTTTCTGTGACCACATTACTTTCTCTCTCATGATTCCATAATAAAAAGAGTTAAAATATTTTGGTTAATTTAGCTGAAAAGTATAGATTTTAAAACCCAGGTGACTGAGGTTAAATCTTTGCCCACAGAGAAAATGCAAACATTGAGGCGGTTATTACTAAGTTTCCTATGCTGCCAAATGAATATACTGACCATGAAAATCTCTTAAACCTGTTTAAGGAGAGCTTAAGGAAACTCACGACAGAACTCGGGGGTCCTCCAGTCAATGCAGATGCCTTTTTCCAAGCATGCCATGGCATAGACTGCGATGGCGTCACACATGCACTGACAGTCCCCTCCAATGTCACACCCACAGGAGTCTCTGACACAGGCCTCATAGTAGGGCATCCGATTCACCTGCATGGCAAAAAGAAGGGATTCATTTTCCAAGATTATTTTGTGCCTATTATACTCTATGTATATGCATAGCCACTGCAGCATTGTACACATTTCTCACTGGTTTTCATCACCCAATTAATCAATATCAGGCATCACCAATTCCTGATTCTTAAGTCTTCATTCATTTTTCAATCTTAGTTGTAATTAATCAGTTAATGGCATACTTGGCATTTGTGTTCACAAAAGGGCTGGTGAAGCGCAAATTTAAAAAAAAAAAGAAAATTAACAAAAATGTGAGCTATAAACACTTTTAAATGTATCTTATTGAAACATTTTGCCAAACAGAAAATCACCTGTTCGAGCATGAGCATTTGGAAAAATACGGATTATGCCTATAAATAAAAAAAGAGCAAATAAATTCTTACCTTATTGTGACAGGCAGAAAAAACATGGCTGTTGATGATGGAACATGTCTTTTCTGCCCATGCTTTACGATAAGGGTTCTTGCTGCAGGGGTCCACTACAAAGTACACATCCCCACAGAGAGGATTCTCTTTCCAAGAGTTGACAAATTCTAGCTCGTTTGATGCCACATACTTGCTTCGAGTTTCAAAGTCATCCTTCATGTTACCATTATAGTTACCACACAAACCACAGATCGTTTCCTAGATTCAATGAAAGCATCAATATCAGTTCAGGAAGTTACAATTCTCACCCGCCCTTTTGATAACTGTTTTCTGTGCTTTAGGAGTGAATGTCATCTACAAATACTCTCTCATAACATACTTGTGCATGGGTCTCTCCTCTAAGCTGTAAACTGTCACCATTTAGAGATCAAATTTAAATGTGCAGTTGCATAAATTACAAACACTTAGCTCAAAAATTTCCTGAATGCAGTATAGAAATCCCTTAAAAGTTAGCCTCTTGTGGAGATCTCTGCTGTTTTGGAGATAACGAAATGAATTGCTTTGCCATCACAGAGACTCAAGGTAACCATGATCAAATGTACAGTTCAATCTGAATGGAGAGACACTTAAAGGATATTATTCTGCAATACCTGTGTTTCTCTGGAGATCTTGATGAAGAAGTTCATATGCTTATTCCAAATAAGGGTCATGTTGTATTTTCCTGGGATAATGATATCAAACATCAGGTGAAGGGCATTCTTTTTCACTTTGTATTTTATACCAGGATTTTCCCCAGAAACAGCGAAGGTTTCATCTCTCAGTATGATTGTCAGATTCTGGAAGAAAATTTATCTGGAAGTTACAACTTACCAAATTTCAGTATTTTCATTGCTGAAGTTCAGCTGCTATAACATTGCAGCAGGAAAACAGTATTTTTGGGTTGAGCAATTCACTGCAGAGTAAACTTCAAAATTTCCTGGCTTCTACATAGACAACATTCTTGGAGAATGAAACACAACGTGAGAATTAAAAAAATCCAAACAAACAGCTATGGCATTTCCTACTAAAACCAAGGCTCTAGGTTTAGCACATAATTTCACTTACAAGACCTTTCTCTTAAGATACAGCTAAAGCTTCCAAAAAATTAAGCAAACCTGGTCTTAAAATCTATTCAGCTGAATAATGGCAGAAAGAAGAGCTTACCCCAAGGTAAATGCTGATGGATCTGGAGCATGTAACTCCTGATTTCCCACAGATTACATTCTCAGTAACAATTTTGAAAGTGGAAATGGGTCTGTTAACACTGCAGCCATCCTAAAAAAACCCAAAACAAACCACAAGGAGCACAAAGGCTGTGCCTGAAGTCTTCCAACTTAAAACATAAAAGTATAAGAAAATACAGGATGCTTAAAATGTCATTAGTAATTCTGGTTTGAGAGGTGATGACCTCTGCTTTACTGGCCAAACTGATGCAACTTCCCTACAGACATATTTATCTGGTATAGAATACCATGACTATTAAAACATGTTTTTTTAAAATCTAAAATTGGTTATAATTGCATGAAAATTATGGATTTTTAGAAGTAAAATATTTTCATTCTAAGCATTGAAATAAACATAATATGTAGAAACTCAGTAAGTGGTTATAAACATTCAAAGTGCTAGATTGTTTATTGATGCATCCTAGCATATTTTTATTAGTTTCTTAAATTCAGCTATTTCTTGATGCTGAGATGCTGCTGAAACAACCAAAAGGAAGCAGGTTACCATAGCTAATATGTATTCACAGTTGCCATCAAACACAAAACGCTGTCCATCAAAAGTGGTGATGTGGCCTTCTCCATACAGATTACAGGTGGAGGAACACCTTGTTTTCTGAACACATTTCCATTTGCCTTTTGTGCAAGTGCTGGGAGTGAGAAGAGAAGCCACAGTCAGATTTCAAAGAAATGCTATCTTCACCTGCTTATTTTTATATACATCCACTTTTATTTGATAACATGTTCAACATGTTTAATTGACTTATGTACACTGAGACCAAGTTAATATAAGAACCATAATTAAAATTTATGGACTGCCTAGAAAATGAATTAATAATAAAGAAGAAACCTTAAATAATTTTTGTGATTTTTTTTAATGAAAGAAATAGTATATTAAACCCATTTATTTTTGCTCTTGATTAGATAAGAAATCATTGCTCTGTGTAGTTCGGGGAGTGTTTTTTTTTTGTTATAATAATAGACTAGAAAGGGAATAAACTACATTGAGAATGCTGCTAATGGGATGGGAATCTTTTTGGGGCTGGTTGCTTTTATCTACAGAAAAGAAGAAATATTTTGCCCTCATCTTTATTTAAGTAGAGTTGTTAATAATGCTTGACTTTATATAATTTACTGTCACAGGCCCTACTGGATGCCTTTATTCCTGAACATAGATAAGACAGATATCCCTGGTACAACAGCTCTTATCCATACATACATTGTCAAATGTTAATCTTCTCTCTCTGTTAATCCCTGTAGTCTGTCATGGTATTTCTTCCTTACCGCTGTTACCATTTCCTACTCTCCAGTCAGTTAAACACTTATTTTGATGTGACTGTGCACTTCAGTGAAACAGAGGCTCTGCAATGAAAAACTGTCGTTCTTACCAGATCTCACATTCTGTCTGGATTTGTTCACCTCTTCCATAAGCAAGGCCACCATATTCACATGGACACTCCTCAGCTGGCACACACCTGCCATCGAGGTTTTCATAGAGGCCATCAGCACAGACACAGCCTGATTCACACTTAGTGGGTATCTGGGAAAGGCCAACAGATTGCAAAATAAAAATAAAAGAATGTGAGATGCATTTTATCCTGAATGTTAATGGTGTCAAGGATGAACCTGTGCTAAGTTCTGTTTGGGCTTGATTTCAGTTTTGTGCTGTTCCTTGTTGACAGCTGAACTAGTTCCACTGAAGCTGTAACATAGATTTGTGGTCTGAGATACTGAACATACCTAAAGACTGAAAAATTTATCTTCTATCACTACCAGTCTTTCAGCAGTACAACAGAATATTCTTCATATCAAGGAAACTTATTACAATTCTTCCAATTAGTCTGTTTCCTTAATATAAGAAAACCCTATCAGGACAGCACAGATCTTCACCTAGCCCAGGTCCCCTGCATTCTGTGATCAACAGCAACAAAGAGTTGAGAAAAAATAGAACAGGAAGCATGGAGTCACAGTTTCTGGAGTACCTGAGCCAGAGATTATAGCCGTGTAGTTAAGAATCCTTAATGGATTTTTATTCTAATAGAATTTCATTAATTAATTCATGCAATTAATTTATTTAATCACTTCCTAAATATATGTGCCATTTTTGTGTCCGCAGCCTGATATTTAACTGCATCACATTAAAAAAAAAATTCCTTTAATTTCACTAGAGGCAATGTACTCTAGTTCTAAGTAAAAACTAGAACATTCTACCTCTCTCAAAATGATAAATATCCCAGAGCTGTGAAACTCACACATTCAATTCCAGTAGCCAGCATCTGACAGGTAGGGGCACATGCAGCTCCATACTTGTTTTCTAAATTGTCAGAACATGAAATGTATTTCTTGGGAGCTTTGCAGTTTTCTAGGAAAAAGGAAGAAAAATTAACATTGAGGAGAAATTAACATAGAAGAGAACAGTGAAGTAATAATTTTACAACATAAAGGACAAAAGATGTTTCTAAATAAACAATATCAGACTCATACCTGCAGGATTTTGAGGTTTGCCTGCACAACTTAGCCTCCCATTAACACAGTAGCTAGGAAGAAAAAGAAAAATAAATGAAAATCTCTTCTAAGAAAGAAATTTTTTTTTCCAAATTGTTTTATTAAAAATGTTTCACTTATGTTATTACCTCCTTCCCATCCTTTGAAGTGGAATATGAGTCAGCTTGTCTCTTCACTTTTTGTATTATACAGTAACATCAATTTTGAAAGTGAATAGTAGCTTATTATCACTATTAACACTCATAGGCACTTGTCACTATGAGGATGGCCTATCAGGTTATTCCAGAAGTTTGTATATAGCTAAGTGCTGTTGACAAAATCTCCTAGTAGGAATAATCAGATCTTAGCTATTATTTTTTATTTTTCTCTGTAACATTTCCAAGCTGAAGGTAAGCGAAATATTTTCTGTTTGGTTAAGAATATTTGTCATTTAGAAAAGGGCAAAAAAGATGTCTTGAAAAATAAATTTTTGCTATTAAAAATAAAGGAGACCATACTGGTTTGGGCTGGAATGGAGTTAATTTTCTTTGTAGCAGCTCATTGGTGCTGAGTTTTGGATTTGTGACCAAAAGACTGTTGATAACACAATGTTGTTTTAGCTGATGCTGAACAGTGTCCCAGCATTCCTCCTCTTCCTGCCAGGGAGGAGGCTGAGAAGCAAGGTATTTTCATTTTAAGTGAAAGCTGGGAGGGGACACAGCCAGGACAGCTGACCCCACTGACCAAAGAAAGATTCCATACTATACCACATCAAGCTCAGCAATAAAAGCTCAGGTAATGAAGGAAGAAGGAGGGATGTTCTGAATTACAGCACTCGTCTTCCCAACAAATCACTATGCATGGCAAATTCATGCTTTCCTGGAAATGTCTGAATGGCTGCCTGCTGACAGGAAGTTTTGAATCAATTCCTTACTTAACTTTGATTTTTCATGCTGCTTTGCTTATTAAATAAGCTTTTTGCTTATTAATAATAAAGAAATATAGTAAACTCTCTATATCTCTACCCATAAGGTTTCTTGCTGTTGTCCTTCTGATTCTCCTCCACATCCTGCTGGAGTAAGTAGCTGTGTGGTGCTTGTCTGCCTACTGCAGTTGACCCTTGACAGAGACATGAAGACCCCTCATCTCCATTTTCAGTTTGTTCAATTTAAACTTGACACACTTACCAGGTGATCCCACCAGTCATTGTTGACTGGTCAGGCAGGATGTACTTTCTGTCCTCTAAGTAGCAGGGACAATGAGATTTACGAACACACTCATTCTTGTGGTTCAGGTACATTCCTTTAGGACACTGGCAGCCTTCAATAGGAATATCAGTTGGATGGCATTCCAGGGCTCGGTTGGAGAGTGACAAGCATGTCCTGTCACATGCCTGAGTGTTGTAGCTGAATGTTTGATTGCCAGTGCAAGTAATGGCTATAAAATAAGACCAGAGTGTATGTTAAACTTCATTTACTCATTGTCTTCCTTGTGAAAGATAACATCCTTTTGCTTATTACGTGCTGCTTTTTTGGTGTCGTTTCAATGCTTCCTGTTGCTTCTCTTCCTGTGGATGTAGAGCTCTAGTAAAACGTATTGCAGACCAAGACTTAGCAAACTATGCAGCTGTTCAGAAGTTTCATGCAGGTAAAATACCTTACAACTTTTTTGTGAATCTTAGAACAATGTATAATTTAATAATGCAAAGGGAAGCTTAGCAGAAATATCAATGAATTTTTGAGTAACAGTGAAAGCTGTACCTATGTCCAAGTTGCAAAATAATAAAATCTGCAGTCAGTTTTCCCTAGTTCTTCCTCATTTTAGAGGATAGCTTTATTTTTATGGCTATTCTGTACCTTAATTATCAAGTCCTGGAAGCATCCGCATACTCACCTTAAAGCATATGAACAATCGTTTTCAGATAGTCTTGAAATAACAACCCTGTTGAGACAGACACTAGAAGGCTATTCAACAGTTGGATATTTGTTACCCAGTTGCAGCTCTTCCTTCTTATCACTATTTCCTCATTATTCATCTGATGGCAGACCACTAAGAGGTACTCACTGCAATTGTCCATACTGCTCCTCCAGTTCTCAAGGATTAAACCCATGGAGCTACATGCTCGTGCATATGATCCCAGAGCAGAACAAATATAAGGAAAAGTCTCTTCATAATTACAGGCCTGGTAGACACACCTCTGAAACCCAACATACAGAGAGTACTTTGTTACTGGGGACCAGACATTTGGAAGTGCTAAACCCTGAAGGTATTTGAAAGACATGTAGACGTGACATTTAGGGACATGGTGTAGTGGTGGACTTAGCATTGTTGTATTAATGGTTGGACTCAATGATCTCAAAAATCTTTCCCAACCAACATGATTCTATGCTGTATTACTAAGTCATACAAGATACATATTGCTGCATAACAAAAACTGATGGAGTATATCTGAGTAATTGCATTGCTGATGTAAATAAAATATACTTAGTACCTTAAAAAATGCCTTTGTTTATTTGCTGTTTCTCATTTTTAATATTCAAAATGTTTTGTGTAGATTGGCATGTATATTAAACTCAGTTATGCACATGGTAATATCAATACTGCACAGTTAATGTTGTTGTCATGGACAACTGCAGCATGAGCAAAAATATTTTCTGATTCACAGGAATGGGACTGGTGCCTGTGACCAAACAGACTTTCAGTGTAGTGGAGACATAATTTTCAAAACCACACCTGTTCCTAAGCTTCTCTGCATTGCTGATTCAATGCGTGGGACACTGTATATGGGTCCAATCTGGTTTATATTAGGACTCCCTCTGTACAACGTCCATCATAATAACTTCATACCTTGTAGAAAGGAATAGGGTTCACCACAGCATGGCATTTCTCAAACACTGTACCCTTCTTTGTCAGAATGGAGCAATGAGTCTCAGCAGATATTTCTAATGAAAGTAAATAATAAACATTAAAAAGGGAAAATTAGGGAGAAAAAATTAAAAAGGAAATTTTAAAAAATTGTTATTTTAGGCGAAGTTTTGGCAATGATGAACTGAACAATAGGACAACTTAGCTTGTTAGCTTTCAGACTATTCTTGTACAAGCATCTCAGCAGAGCTTTTTTTTCTTTCTCACCTTTTTTTTTTTTTGTTTCAAGACCAATAGCAATAGAGACTTGGGAACACAAAACCTGGATTTCAGTCTCAGTATTGCTAAGCAAGCCTAAGACATTTGTGGACATTGCAGTTTCACTAGACAGATCAAACCCCTCTCATTCACCATCTCAATCCCAGATCTCTAGAACAGGATCTGATGAGCTTTCACTTGATATGTATTCTAGAAAGCAGAAATGGCTTGTTGGTGACAGAATTTGTGATATTCAATCCTCTCAGTCTCTGTTTCTGTCTGTCTCTCTCATTTCCCTGGTATGGGCTTACGGAAGTGTTGGACAAAGCCAGTTGGACAGATCGGTTACCACGGCATCATCTACTTACTGTTCAGTTGGCTCAAAGCGCAAGGGTCAGTCTCTCTCTCTAAGGCAGGATGGCAATTTCCTGCCCTCCAGGAATCTACAAACAGGGAGGCTGTCCCTTCAGTGATATCCATGCTAGTCATGAAGTCATCTGTAGTGTCTCCATTGTAATTGCCACACAAACCTGACAACATCAGAAATGCAAGGGATGGCGGAAATTAAAGAATGTGTGCACAATTGCCTATGTTTCGTTCTATCACGGTGAAACAATTGATTCAAAAGCTCTACATAGAGTGTCAATGACTACTCAGGTCAAGTAGCCAGAGAATCTTGATTATGTACACATTCAGTCACTAAGCCTCTGCCTCCTCAAGTTAAGAGCGTCAGCTTCTAATCAATGACAAAATCATAGAGAAGTTTTTGTCTTTTTTTAGACAAAAGTGGTTTTAAATAAAGTAAAAGAGAAAAGCCATGAAACACTTTTGAAGTTGCATGTTTTTTTATGTATATTAAATGCATAATGACAAAGAATATGCTTTTGTAAAAAGCCAAAACCTCTCTGTAATTACCCATAATCAGAATGAAAGATATGCTTGTGTGGCTAAGGTTGATGTACAATAAACATCTGCATCTGGTGATTACCAGCTCAGAAGCTTTTAGATTTTTAGATTCATTGTGTTTACAGTGGTCATGCACTACATTCAAAGAACTTTGTACTCCAAGATGCAGAGACCACACAGACTTATTTGTTGCTCCTTCATTGTGTAGTATTGCACATATTGAAAAAGGCACACATAAAATAGAGAACAGCATTGTGCTATGCGTGAAAAATGTGACACCTCTGGTTTCTTTGGTTAATTTTAAAGTCATTAGTGAAAAATCAATTCAGTTTCCAATGCATTTTTTTCTTTGAATCTGGAGAAGAAAATTGATTTCCTAAAAGATGAATACTAAGTTATCAAAATTATACTCCCTATATTTTCTCCTTTGTAAAGGGACTTGTTTACTTACCCAGTGTTCTGCCTTTGAATTGTGATCCAACTTTCACATAGGCCTGGAACACAGGTAATGTTTGAACTGCAAGTTCCAGCCCAAAGTTTGTATGCATCTGAACGTACATGGAGGACTGTCTGAAAACAGTGATGTCTCCTGAAGGAGCAAGAATGTTTAAAAATAGAGATGTTGGTGATACTGCAAGGTAACGATTTTAACACATATATAAATGTTCTAGCACTCTGCATACAGCTCTTCTCCCACACACAACTCTCCACAGAGAAATAGATGCAGCAGGAGAGACTTTAACCTTCCTCTAAAACCCCTGGTATTAGCAATTGAAATATTGTGAAAGATGCTGTGTTGTGTAAAAACAGATATCTAATTTAATTTGGATATAACTTATATTCCCCCCTTTTTTTTACCTGATCTGTAAGGCAGCCTCTTGAGTTCATCATCATCAGTAAGGAGATCATTCTGAGAAATCACAATTTTGTCCTGTAAGAAGAGGACATGGAACCAGAAGTAACTATCTTTAAGGTGATATTTATATGTTAAGTTAAACAACTATACTGTTGACGATCTATGTAAAAGAAAAAAAAAATAATTCAAACATTTTCTCACACGCTGCTTTTAGCTTTCACTTTGAAAATACCTTCCTGACTTGATGTAACTGAGATCTTTACTGTATATACCTGAGCAGAAACATACTTTTAGTATTTATCCTCCATAATTTTTAAGTTCAAGCTGCCAGCAATGACTTTGAGCACTTATTTTGCTAATCTAGTGATAGAATGCTGGGTAGAACCTGTGGAGGGGAAACCTACCTTGGTAGATTGGTAAATAATAGCACTAAGTGATGTCTCAGAATGAGAATAACCAGTCTTTTCATAAACAGCCATTAGGGTTCCATTGTGTGGCAGGCTGGAACTCTGGATGGAAACAGAAAAGACAAGTAAAAAGAGAAGTCTATGTCAGTATAACAATGATTTGTAGAATAAATGTGTGTCTTATTAAGTCCTCAGTTTGTATTCCAATAGGAAACCAAAGACATACTAAAATATATCTATTTCATATTCTGTTGAAATTACCTTCATAAGAATATAAGTGCAAACCCCATGGAATCGATATGGCCTCGAATCAAACGTGGTAACAAAGGAGCCTCCTTCCAGTGAACATCTTCCAGGGCAGGGCAAGTCTTTGCAGTTCCATTGACCCATCACACATTTACTACAGAAAACAAGGAATTCTGTGCAAGGTTTTTCTTTTCTTCATGCTCTAAAATCTCAGCTACTTCCTAGCAATGAAATACGTAGTTTTTATCACTTTTCTCTTTATGCTGTCTATGCTTTGATTTTCTTTGTCTACATATATCAGTTGAAGTTGCTCATCTTTATTTAATTAAGTTGCTGAACTCCTGTATGGATTATCAGTAAACTTTCCTGAATTGTGAAAGGAGCTGCCCTTTGAAAGATTAGGCAAAATTTTCCAATTGTGTAGTAAAGGTACCTTGTATTCTCTCATGGAAGCACCTGTTGCTACTCACCAGGTCCTACAAGCCGCTTTCATTGTCTCACCAGGAGCATATGTTTTCCCATTCAGTGTACATGGACACTGGCTAATGTGAACACATGTCCGATTCTTTGAGATATCATCAAGAACAGTTCCTGCCAAAGAAGATAAACAAAACATTTTTCCCCATCCTCACTTAGCACTACAGTTATTATGGCTTGAGTACTTTCTGAAATTAGCCTGAGAATGCTATTCTTGCACAGTGTCTGTACTTGGAAATGTAATATGCAGGAAATTTTCTCCTAATTAAAATGAAACTGAATATTCACAAGTGACAACAGCTTTTGACTACTTTGTCATATGAAAGCACAGTCAATTGTCCTGTTTCGAAATGCAAATGATAGTAATAATCATAATTTCTGTAATGAGTTCATCTTGAATTATTTTAAAGGGAATTTACACAATTCCCATAATACTGCAGAAATCATCTGAGGTATGCTACCTCTTCCTGGTGCCTGATCAATGTATATTTAAGTAAAGAAGTTTAAGAAGATGGCATATCTTTATCCCATCACAAACTATGATCTTGTGAGTAAAATGTATTCATAGCTCTGTTCTTGTGACCAACCATCCCTAAGGACCACAATTACTCAAGATTCCAGTTACATTATGTTACCTGAGAAAGAGCAGTTCTAGCAGCACAATGCCCTGAAATGCACAGCTAGTTCATTATTAAGCAGTCCATTCCACTTGACTGGATATGAGCAAAAAACATTTGTGTGATCCATTAAGAATATGATGAAATGATACCTTCTGGACAAAAGCAGCCATAGGTACAGTGACTGGAGCAGCTGTACTCTGGGTTGGAACAGGTTTTAATACACGGAGAACCACATTCCTCATAGATTTGGTTTGCAGAACATTTTCCCACAGCTGCAACAAACAGTGGGAGTGTTAGGAGTGTTAAGATTTTTAAAGTGTAAATACAGAATATTTCATCTGCTACCTAGCCAGAAAAAGACCTTCTGATTTCTGACACTAACATTATTTGATCCTGCCTCAAAATTCATTTCATCATTTGAGTATTCTTTGTTGCCATCATATATTCACTTTCTTTCATATTTCTTGCCCAAAAAATTGGAAACACTTTTTCAGAAGCTTGGAGAATGGCAAACAGGCCACACTGCAGCCTAATGAAGTACCAAAAATCAGATTTTCTGGAGTACTTCAAGGTTTTACTTCCAATCAGTCCTTGTAAATAAGAAGGTTGAACATCTGAAAAAGGACTACTGAAAATCATCTTTGAATAAAGGGAGCTATAGCAACCTTTAGCATAAAGGTTCAAAGACTTCAGAGGCTATCTAAAAATGCTCTCTCTTCACTGGCTAATTTTCCAAGTACAGTAATAAGAAAACTGTTCTTAGGCAAGCAGCCTCCTATAGGAAGTTTGAGAAGTTAAACAGTTTTCACTTTGTGAATGTTTATCTGTTTTATTGTCACTGATCTAGACACAGGAGCTATGTTTTGAGCTTCCTTCTTCTTTGAGGTTTCCCTGCTCTCCTTACAGCTTTATTGAAGACCACTTTTCTCTGTAGAAAATAATTTGTTTGATTAAAGACAGTAAAGACTTTTTAGAATATTCCAGTTATTATCATTATCCCTCTATTCAAGACACAGAAAATTTAAGCACAGACTCTCATGAATAAGCCATTTGTACTTACAGCAGAAGTTTTCAGTTCTCCAGTTGAACACCATTTGGTGGGACATAGCACATTGCCTGGAATACTCTGACAGTGTAGAGCAAGTGCAGTTGTTTTGTCCTGGCTCACTGCAGTCCTGCATATCAAGCTGGCAACGAATGACAAACCTATCCTTGGGCACACTGCAGGTTGGTGACACCAAATTAAGTAACTGAGAGCAGATCATGGCCTAAATAAAAAGAGAAGGAAAACTGTTCTTGATGGTGTTTCCCTCATATGAAAACCACAGTGGGATAAACACTGCTAATTGTGATTTTCTTGTTGATTTGTTTGCTTTTCCCCCTAGAGTTTAATAACGCGTATTTGACTTCAAATGTGTGAGAAATTCACAGATAGAAGGGAATAGAAGTTCATTGTACAATAGAAAGAACTTGATATATTGAAATAATTCCACTTCTCATATTGAAAATTAAGTCACTTTCTGTGCCATCAACCCTCCTAAAAATGGGTGAGAGCATTACACACAGGAAATGTGTTGTCTCATGGCAAAAATGAGGCAACATGTTCCATGAAAAACATCCCAGATGTGGAGATCACAAAATTCTGAGCACACACTTGGTGCATTTCTGTTTACCTGCATGTTGCCTATCATGGTGTCTACTGCAGTGTAAGGTCTCAAAGGTTGTCAGGCACACTGATTTCATTTAGAACTGTAAGTGATAGCAGTTGATGGTGGTTGTCCCTGTTATCAGTGCTGTTATCTGGCAATATGTTTTAGGCATTGTGAATATTCTTCAAATCTGTACAGCTTATAGTGTCAAGTCTCTAGATGTTAGATAAAAAGTTCTTAAAGTTCTTCACTGGTTTCCATGACTTTCCTGCAATGACCTGCATGGAATTCCACAAAATTCTGAGCTAAATGCTGATTTTTATGAGTGATTTAAACCTAGCCTTAAAAACACCTGTGGGATTTTATTCAAATGTATTTTAATGCAAAGAACTCCTTTTGTTTTTCATATCATGCTATACAGATGTTGACTGTATCCGTTTTCATGGAAGTGATTTTTATGAAACCACTGCCTCTCTGTTGTTGATTTCTGTCTTGCCCCCGCTAAGAATCATGCTGCAGAAAAGCCAAGAAGATCTTTCTTACATATTTTTTGTGAGGAACAGCAGAAATTGGTATCTCCTCAGACAGACAGATCTCTGATGGATCATCCATTTTTTGTAGGGCAGCAAATTTATATGTATCCAGCAATTTACCTGGAAATTAAAGGGTTATAATTTGTCAGGGAAAATATTGCATGGATTTGTTTACCTGTTGCTGTGATGTAGCAAAACTCAGATTTTACTCTTTGACTGTTAAATGTCCTACTAGTTAATTTTCCCAATGATAATAACTGCCTCTTGTGGAAGTCAGGAGAGTGTGATCCTTATCACCTGTTTCTAAAAGATAAGAGTCCTTATCACTTGTGTGAGGAGCCCGTTATATTATGCTCATAGCAGATAACAGAGTATAGCATAATCATATGAAGTATGTTGGTGCTCCATGGGACTGCTTTACTCAATTCTGGAACACAGCAATTCTATCATAGTATTCAGTTTTCACCTTGACTCACTTTAACTCTCCTTCTATCTGAAATGTCTCTTACCTTCACGCACAAATTCATTCAGTTCATAACCATCATAGTTCCCACACATTCCACACGTTTTCCCCATGTATTTTTTTTCAGCCAAAACCTAAAGTAAAATACAATAAAACATTTTAAAGGATCACCCTAAGTAAAATTATCTATACAGCAATTACTTTCTCAAACAAATTCAGTTCATGCACCCAATTAAAAGTGATTCTTCTCATTAATTTCAGTGAGTTTTTTGAAGGAAGAATTTTGTAAGCAGTGAAGTCTTTTCCCAATAGGCAAATCATGATTTTTTAAAATTAGTATTTAATAAAAAGGATAAGATTTGAAGACACAGGGAATTGAGGGGGGATAACATTCTAAGGAGCCAGGGAAAAATGAAAATAATGCTGAAGCCTTCCTAATATCTTTGTTGACAGAGTACAAATTTCAGTTTCTTAAGAAATTAAGGTTACAGGAAGAAAATCTGTTTTCAGAAGAAGGTTATTCAGTTCTCTATTATTCTGGAGACTAAAATGGTAGTATTACTACTGACTATAAACAATGAATTATTATGAAAATCTTAGGTCAGAGAAATAAAACCATATTCTTTTTATAGTCAGATTAACCCATCAGAGTAGCATTTTCTCTTATATATGTGATAATAATATATCTGCTGATAAATCTCCCAGACAATTTACTACATCTCCTTGTTTTACCAAACAGTCAATTTAGAATTCAGTGTCTTTTGTGGCAATAATATCACAGGTCTCACTGAGAAAATTTATTGGGGATTTTGAAGGGAAAACCTGAAAAGATTCAGAAATAGGAAAGAAAAAATAAACTGGTAGAAGCACTCGATATTTTAAACCAAAAGATGTCCCAGGGAAGATCAATAAAAAAGACTAAACTTAGCCATACAATATTAAGTTCAACACAACTTGAAATAACATTTCTTAAGAAAAACATTGCAGCTGCTGGAATACCCTGAGGAAAGATTAAAATGTGTGAAAGTATCCACAAATCTCAGCACTGGTGCCTTTAGCTAACTACCAATGCTGCAAGTGAAAGTAACAGGCAAAGCTGTTTATTTCAAGAATAAGAAATAGGAAAATAATAAATATCAAAATAGTAAATACATGCAAAAGCACCCATTTAGTTCAGAGATTTCTTGTCATTACAGTAAATCAGGGAGAATTTTCTTCTGTGCTGTATAAGAATTTACTAACCATGAGGTAGTCATCATTGTTCCACATGACCACCAGTTCCATCTCCATCAGCTTGGCTACCAGGCGGATGTTGCGTCCATAAGGTGCTATTTGGATTCCGTTGCTGGCGTAAGGCAACTGAATGACACTGTAACGAGGTGAGAAGAGAAACCAACCTCATAGCAAGATTATGCAGGTATTAGTTATTTGGGATATGATACACACCCAGTCTGAGTACTTGCAGCAACATGAAACAGAATTCTTTTCCTTTTTAACTGTGACATTTCAAAACACGTGAAAGTTTCTGTTGATTGAAAATCCACATGAGTAGTTTCATAGAAAGATCACCAAAAATGGGTTGCATAATGATTCTACTACTGACAATGTTTGCACAGGACTTGGCATCTTCACTTGGTTTGGTTTTATTAGAGCATAGTTATATGTTTCAAGAACCATTAAGCTGGTGTGAAACTAATGTTGATTATCCCAAGGAGAGTCTATGGAGTTTTAATATAAGAATTATGACTGAAAACTGACAAGATCAGAGAAACCTATAAAGAAAATGTTCTAGAGTGTGAGTGCTTGATGGGAAGCAAAGGAAGTAGAGTCCAGTTAGGTGTGTTACCTTTAGTAATTTGTTAATTTATTTTTGCCATGAGCAGTCATCAGTACACCTGCTACACAAGTCCCCACACCTGCTATATAACACCCTGCCTTCTCTAAACACTCCACACCCCATTCATGGCAGAATCTTACCCAACACTCCTGATAGAAATGCTGCCTTTCTCAACAATGACAACAGAAGGGCCAAGCTCAATAATGATCCTTGCAATTTTTTTGTCTAGCCCACGACGGAACTGGATGTTGAAGTCTGGGCTGGTCTCATCACATACAGTTGCAAAGATGTAGTTGCAAGTCCCAGTGAAGTCATATTGGTATTTATCAAAGGTTGAAAAATGCCCTCCTCCCCAGGTAGAACAGGAATCTTTGCTCAAAACTATAAAAGAGAAAGAAAGATGAATTTAGCATATTTGCTCATTCTTCCAATTAGAAATTCAAATATAAATTCTAGGACAAGTTATTAAGCTTCTGCTCAGATTAATTCTGTAAACAATATTCTAGCCCTCTGTTTGTTTTTTTTATTCTTTTGTTATCTCAAAATTTTATCTCAAGTCAGAAAGTGAAACAATATTAGGAGTGAGAGCAATATTCTCATTTAGTGTAAGCAGAGGAGAATTCCCTAACTTCCTAGCTTGGGAAAAGCCTTTTCAACTTCTATATGGGTAATATAGAGATTTAATTTCTTATTTCCGTCTGCTAGATCTGTTTGCAAAGGTGACAGCTTGCTACTGGACAGAGCTTTAACATCCCAGACACAACTTTTACCAAGCTGTACTTGGCATTACTGTATCATGATTAACTGCACAGTCAAATCACTAGATATCCAAAGACAGTCTTCAAAGCCCAACTTGTAATTTCAAACTCTCTCAGCTGTGTATTCGTGTGACAAAGTTCCAGCCATTTTTATAAATATACAGATTGTTTTAATCAATTTCATTTTTAAGAAGTAGTCTGGGAAGTTCATCTGAATAGACAGATTTTCTAATGTGGAAATGAGTCAAAAAAAAAAAAAAAAAAAAAAAATACAACTCCAGCGCCTGCTGTAAGATATTTCTGCACCTAGTTATAGCATTTGAACAGTCCCTCTGGAGCTGATAATTTTATTGAAGTACCTCAAATCGTGTCCTCAGTTCTATATTTCCAGACTTAAGATTGTTAATTTCATTTTTTAATTATTTTTGCTTATGGCATCATATGAAGCTCAGGTATCTTAGTATATATCTTAGAGTTACAAAGTATCAGATAAGTTTATCAAAGTCTACATGCAATTTACATTTATTGTTTTAAAGCCAAAATATATATTTTAACTGTGAAGGAGAGATCAAATAACTGTAGAATGCTAGTGGTTTTATCCAGGTCATACAGAAAATACTGTTTCCCAATGAGCAGTTACCTGTTGGCAAAAAGTACTCCTCTTCCACACTACTGTTCTGTCCTGAAGGTCTGACTGGAAAATAGGAATTGGCTGATTGTTATCATTGATCCTTCATTCCCAAGTCCAGGTAGTTGAATATACTGTGCCTGAGTGATACTGACCACCAAACCCCAGAGTGTGCCAAGGAATGATTATCCAGGGCTGCACAATGGTCAGAGTGCAAGAGGTGCCCCTTTCAATAAACACAGGAGCACAGTCACTGTATTTGTTATTATTTAAATCTTATCAAAGAAAAATAACAGATGGGAATGTCAACAACTCAAGGAAGTTTAAATACAGATTATGTGTTTGTCTTTTGAGTTCAGCTTTTACTAAATAAAATCTAGGGATTTGCTTTTAATTAGTCTATATCCATGTTCTACTGTATTTCTTGTTGTAAGAACAGATAGCGATGAGTTCCTGAATATTTGAGATTTTTTTGTCAGATTAAAAGTCTTTCATCTATTTTTACTTTAAGGATGAACTTCATGTAGCTTCTCTATGCTTATACTGAATGAGAATTCGCCTAATTCAAGCCATTCTCAGTTTCTTCTGCCTAAATAAATGCTTATTATAATAAATTTTCATTTTAAATAATTATTTTTGTTCTACACCTCCACATTTTCCCCAAACTGGTTAAAGAATTTCATTCAATAATACAACAAGCTTTGGAGTACAGAGAATGGATTTCTAATGGTGTGCAGAAGCAATGCATGATATTTTAGTGTAAAAACAATAAAAATATTAATTACCAGGAAGATTGGCTGTAAATAAAATAGGATAGAAAAATATTCCTACCAGAATATTAGGACAGATATCCTTACTTATTTTAGAAAAATATTGTGAAAATTTTGTGTTTTCAGAAGGGCTACAACCTTCTGTATTCCATAGCAGAGGAACATCATGTCCCGTAAAATATATCATGTTAGCATGATGGCATTCATTCTTTCTTGCCATGGACATGGAAAACTAAATGACTATTAAATGAACTTCAAATTTAGAAGTCAGTGCCTCACATTTCTTCAGATAAGGACATGTGAAAAAGTGTGTTGGTTCTGCCTAAGGGTTGATGTAGCTCTGTATTTTATTTCCAGCAGTGACCATTAACAGCCTGCCCAAGGGAAGACTACCATCAGATCAGGCATGTATACTTCCACAGATACTTCTCAGCCTCCAATTATTTTCAGTTCAGGGAATTCTGTGAGGCTATTGAGCTTTTTCTGCTTACCCCTCCCTTGTGCTCTGGCTTCCAAGTCCTTGTCAACCATCATTTTGAACAGAACCAAAATTTCTTAATAATAGAAAATTCCACAATAACTACAGTCAAAGTTTACCATTAAATTTTAATTATGAGTTAACGTTTTAAGGATAACCTGCCTTTCCAACCATACTTCTGATATCTAATATTTTAAATATTTTAAAGCTATAATATGCTAATTTTGTCTTGTTCTGGCATTGTTTTATACAAGTCAGATAGTAGTAGTACCTCACTATTTGTATTTCTCAGACTCAGAAGGACTAGCACAAATTTACAGTAAGTAGGTGGCTGGAGTTAATTTTGCATAAAGATTTGGATGGATGCACACAAGTAATTCTTTGGAGTTAAGGGAAAACTGCTGGTAAACTACCAGAAGTGTTATAGCAGCTGGCACAGCTGAACGCTGAAGCAGAGATCTGTCCTACTCTGACCCCACTCTAGCAGCTGGCTATAAAGGTGAAGAAGAAATATTCCACACTCTGATTGTCCATTTGCATATAAGTTTGTTTTAACCTGAAATATTATCTATGTGAAGAATGAGCTTTATTTATTTTCCTGGATTTTGCAATATCAAAAGAATCCATATCCTAAATTTTTATATAATATTAGGTAGTAATATGTAGGAATGAAAATCAAACATACCATGCAAATTACCCCAATAGCATATTTCTAAGTGTGGAAGGCTATTAAACTGCTCACAGTTTCTATCCTTAGGTATCAAAACCTCAGCATGGCACACTAAAGCACTTTCCATTTAGTTTAAAACTTACCACAGTGAGACAACACATTTGACAATCTTTTTACATGCAAAGTCTTCTTTTTGAATTTCTAAAATTTAATGCTTCAAAACATATGGTCCTTGAGGCAAAGACTTATTTTTATCATGTGGTTTGTACAGTGCCTTCTGCAATATGGACTTGATACTGAATAGAGTTGTCACTCACACTTAAATGCAAACATTAAAAACTAGGTCAGACACTTACTTCTTTGCAGAGATTCTTTTGGTTTTTGGAGAAGAATGGGGGACCAATAATTTCCTTCAAAAGCTGTGAAAGGAAAAAGACAACACAATGAAATTATCCTCTGAGCAAAAGAAGTTGGATATTTGTATATTTATTTTGTTCTTAAGCATGCTGCAAGTCAAAGCAGGGTCAGCACATATGAATTGTTCTCTGTCACACAAATATGAATGACAATTATAATGGAAAATCACATAATTCCTGTACAAAATTAGGTAATAGAAAATTCTTCTGCAGTGGACAAATGTTTCCAAAATTTGCCAGAAATCCTATGCAATATGAGAGCTCCTACACTTCATACTAAAATCCTATGTTCCTGTTTAAAAAAGGGGGATAAATCTTTCCTCATGTTTTTGAGTTCTTGTTTCACCATCTGGATAGAAGTAGTGGAAGGCATAGCCAAAAGTGTGAAAATATGGGGTGCGGGGATACTGGACTCCAGGACGGTTTGGATGGATGGAGACAAGAGACCTCTTAAGGCTGCTCTTAGAATATATGGTTTATTAGAGAGGGTGAAAGGCCCTGCATGGAGCTGCCAGACGCGGCACGTGGCAGGGCCTTAGGGAGAGGGGGAAGGGAGAGGCAAGGGGTAGAGGGAGATAAGAGGATGCTCCAGGAGAGGGTGGGAGTTCCAAGAGAGTGGGAGTTCCAGGAGAGGGTCTGGCTCCTCAGGGACCCCTTATCAGAGGGCTTCAAGGTGGGCTGGAACAAGACTTAGGCCAATGGGGTCACAGACACCTGATGTTTCAGGGGAGGGTTACAGGTGTGGGATGAACCGTACATTTTGGGGGGTGAGATAGAGCAGTCCATTTGACCTTTGGACCTATCTGTAGGTAAGGGTATTGTTCAACCAGAAGGGGGGATTGTCTTCATCCTGGCTGTACTATTGTTTTCTACTTGTTCAGTAACTAAGGTTTGGTATCTCAAAATTTGTTACCATCTCAGTCTCTGTATTTCCTAAATCTTTTGCCAGGCAATCATATTTATAAGGCTTTTTTGTTTCATCTTCCCCAACAATGGGGAAAGTATTGTCCCATGTGTTGTTCACAAGAACTGTGGGATCTGGAGCTGAAGAGCAGGAAATTCCCAGGCGTAGTTGTTGCTTTTGTTAAGGTAGAATGATGCAAGCTGTCACCTGCTCCCTTCCACGCTCCTCTTCACAAAGCTGGATTTTCTTAGAAGAAGCCAAGGAATGTTTAGCAAATGCTGAGTGCAGTGTGGTTCCTTTTCCATGTCAAACACAGCCCTGCTGCATGAGCACAACTGTTCCACTTTCTCACACATACCCAAAGGCTCTTTCACCCAGCATTTTCCTCCAGCACTGCTGAAGTGAGCCCCCAGCCTCAATAGCTGGGTGGTAAAAGCCTAAACAAAATCCAGGAATAAAGACCTGAGGTGCTTCAGAAATGTGCTACTCCAATTTAAATTTTCTCGTGTCTGCTCTTCTTAGATAGCAGGAGCAAGTATCTTGTAGAACCCATGTAATCCTCTATTACATGTTTAGGATATTTTGCAACATAGAAAATGTTGTGGCAGAAGGTTTCTTTCATCAAATAAGACAGGCCAAATCCACATAAATATCTATATATACACTACAGCTCTGCAGGGTGCTGTTGCTTCCTTGGATACTGCAGCGAGTGGAAGCCTCCAGGGAGCTCACCAGCTGTAGCAGACTCTCAGCCAATTCCATGCTGTTCCGTGAAGGTGAGGTAGTATTTGCCATGTGCTACCTCAAGGGCTGCAGGAGAACAGGTGAGGCTCCGCCTTTTATGTAAGGCTAGGTTAAAGCACAAAAGGGAATTTTGGAACTGAGTGTTGCAGCACATCCTTTTTCTTTGGAGCTCAGATCCAGACATCTCCAATATTCCCATCAGTCTATACCTCAATTCTTCTATGAAACTGTACTTGCTGTAAGAAGATGTTATCTGGAAAAACTAATCTAATTTTTTAAGAGCTAAAATGCTATACAGATATAATTGTATAGAATGAATTTTTAGGCATAAGGGAAATAAATCAAGGATATAAATTCAGTGACGGAAGTGCTCCCATCCTAATTGTTCTAATAGCTTAAAATGGCATTTATCTCAGCCACTCCCAAGTTGTCTGACACACTCATCACAAAATCATTCTAATCCTACTCACGCTGCCTTGCTGTCTAGAACTGGTCAGCACTGGCCAATAATTGTTTGAGATTCTGCCAGTATTTTAGAAAATCTCCATGGTTGGCCTACAACTCAGCAGGCATTTCCAAAATCCAGCATGCTCCTTCCAAGTTCCTAGTGAACCATGCATCACAGTAAGTACACAAGAGGAACGGTCAGTTTGTGGCTTTCAAGCTAACACTCTTCATGCCTAGAGTTGCTGCTGCCTTTTTCAAATGCCTGGATTTTGATACCTGTATTTGTTCAATAATCTATTATTGTTGGCTTTGCGGTTTTCCAATCATTACAGTTTAATTCTAAACTTCAAACACTACATGAATGGGACTTAGAAGTGTGTAAAAGCTGCCTTCCAAGGATAGTAGATTTGCAGGAATTAAATATATACCTAAAAAATAACTTCAAGTCAGATCTATCTAGAGAGCTCGATGTAAAGCAAAATCTCTTATGGACAAATATTTTAGGTTAGAAAAGACAAATCAGTTTAAAAAGCTTGCTTGGTAGCTTTTCAAACTCAAGAATCTAAGCACTGCAAACAAAATTTAACATGTACTTCAGGTTTGGTGAAGATTGAAAATAACTATGGATATGAAATCCATTTTAACTTTTTGCCCAAAGACTAGCTAATAAAACAAATACAGAGCCATCTACTATCTGCCAATCAGTCTATATCCTGTCAGATCAAACTATTATACTAATTACAGTACAGTAATTATTCTCAGCATGTACCTTCTTTTTCTCACACTTAACTCTAAAGAAAATAGTTAAACCTTCCTAGCAACACTATCAACCAGAAGCACACAAAATGGCATATTGTACAGATGTAGCAAGTACTATGGCTATGCAGAAGTTATATTTTGCAATCATTTAAGATTTTTTCATTTGAAAGGCTGTCCTAGTGTTAAATGAGATTCCTAAAGTACTGAAATCTTCCTTTGTGACATTTTACCATTACTACAAGTATTCTGTTTTCCTTTGAGAAATGACATTAAATACTTATTTATTTTGAATTATCTCAGCAGAACTTGAACCAGAGTTTCACTTCTCTTGGATAAGGTTTTACTTCCAATGCTCACTCTTCTCCAGCTGGCCAGGATGATATCTGTTGAAGTGCAATTTCTATGTGGCCAGCCTGTCTAGTTCATGGCAGCAGTACAAACCAGAGAACATAACTTACTATGAAGAAATAAGCAATTTTGTTCCTATACTCTGGTTACTATGAAATATCCCTATGGAAAAATACAATTTTATGTTGTAATGGCTTCAAAGTATTTCACATCAGATAAACAAATGAAAATAAAGCATTTAAAGGAAATCTTTGTACTTCCAACTTGCAGAAATAATTTAAAATCTCTGTTTTGTAAAGGGTTCAATTTTTCTCTTCTAATTGGAGACAAACAGAAATGTTGAAATGTGAGATGTTCTGGAAAGGACAAGAACTTTCAAACAAATGATAGAAGCCTAAAATTAAACTTAACACTGAGGGTACTGGTAGAGCTGTAGCTGTAATATGAGTTATCATTTGCACATATTCATTATGATTTCTCTTCAGTATGAAATTTTTACCTCCCTTTGTGTCTTGCAAACATAGATATGTGAACAGGATAAATCAAAGTGACTTCCTGGTTACATACTTCATAAGAAAAAGTATGACTCTACACAAACCTCTCAAAAGGATCCATGCAGTTTTGATTATTGAAATAGCTAAAGGGGTGAAGCCTCGATTTAATCAATGAATCAGCACCTCTTATTAAGAAAAGGCTAGAACTTAGAGTTTTAATCAGGTTTTTCAAACTTCTGTAGATTTTTTTTTTAACTCAAACATGTTTACTGATTTTCTTTTCATCACTTTCCATCAGATTACACATCAAATAATCAAATATCTGTCCTTACAATCAATATTTACGTTTCTACCTAGAGACAGACTCAAGCTACAGAATTCAGATGCAGATCCATAAAGAAGAGAATTAAATCCTGGCTTTGGTCTGACTCATTCTAAGGAAACAGCAGTTGGATCTAGAGTTCAAAGCAATGAGCGCCTGCATGTTGTCCAATTTAAAAATGTACAAATAAACATCCAGAAATCGCCTGATTGCAATTCTTTCCTTGACAGAATGAAATCTGTTTGTTTTCACAGTCTCCAGTCTTGTGAGGCATTCCAAGGACCTGAAATATTGACACATCCCAAACGAGAAAACTGCTCTGTAAGAATTTTCTAGATCCTGCTTCTAGGGTTTTTATCTTTAAATTCCTTTGTAGAAAAAGTTCTGATTTAGGATTGCCAAGTTTACATATAAAGCTTGTGGCTGTGTGTCTATAACAATTTTCTATTTGATTGCGAGTATTTATTTCAATACATCTATTATCTAAAATAGAAAGCCATGTAGATGAAGATTTTGCTCTTGCAGGCAGCAAAACTTGGGGTTAGGACCCATGTTCAGGTACTTGACTTGATATTGGTTACAATGGTGCTAATACGGTAAATGGAGTTACACCTGATTTATAACAATACAGCTGAGGTTAGAAATTGGCTCTGAGAGTCTACTAAAGGGTTGAGTTGCTTATATTTTAATTATTTTCATGCTCCAGTTTAAGTCATTGATTTAAGAGCAATAAATGTCCCAATGCAATTTGAACTACATGATTCATTAAATGTAGCAAACACAATACAGAAGAAATAAATTTAACTTTGTTTCACCTAAAGCAAGTGAAGTATGCTTTTTAGCAGCTTGAAATCTTTTATTGAAATTCTAACTGTAATAACTGGTAATTAAAGAGTATATACAGAAGAGATTAAAAAAAACCAAATCTTAAGCCATGCCAAACAAGGCTTATTCTCAAAAAATCCAATGATAACAGCACAGGAAGAATAATGAGTAAGGTGGCCGAGTAGCTACAGAGCCAATGAACTTACCTAGGAAATCTTCTTTCAGAAATTACACACTCATGTGGTGTACAGGTGGGTTGGATCAAAAAAGTAAGACAGACTTCTTTGAAAGACCAAAGGATTGTACTGAATAATATATGGAGGAATATATCAAGAGTCATGTAAAATTTTTAGACTAGAACCATTTGCCTGTTTTCTAGCATGGGATTCTGTCTATCACATCATTCTTCAAAAAAGAAATGCCATCACATAGCTCATAATTAATGTTTTTTGCTGTTCACGTAACAAAGAAAAATGATTTTGATTATCACTCTATGCAGAAGATATACAGTATATCTGCAATGACATCGCTAGGACACCAGATCATGAACATCTGAAAGATGAAGGCACTTGGCAACTCGGAAACACAATAAAAGTCCATTAAAAATATTCCCTGTAACTAGGGAATGAGTTTTAGGGAAGGGTTCAACAAATCAGTGACCAACATTCTGAAACAGTGAAGAATGAATTATTTTATTTCAGTCATGTATTTATTAAAGAACCTGTTGTGTTTTAAGATGAAGCAAAAAAGAAGAAAATGTGTAAACTGAATTCTGCAGTTTGTGGGAAAGGAGAACAAAACCTGAACCTCAGGTGATGTCATACTACAATTTTCCTTCAAGCCATGTACCAAGAGGAGCCCAGGCACCTTGGACTTACCAGCAGAATGCAGGAAACTGCAGAAGATGAGCAGTACCAGTGTTGGGAACATGATGCACGCCCTGCTTGGGCAGTGTTCTCAGTGCTCCCCTCCGTCCCAAGCAGGCAGTGCCAATGCTGTCACCTTCTAGGCTGCCCTCTTCAAGCTTGGATGCTTTATATATAGAATTGCAATGCCCTCCCTCATTCCCACAGCTTGCAGAAATTGTAACAGCAGAGTACCCGCCAAACAGGATCTCCTCTTTATCAAGTTCAACACACCTAAAAGCCACTTAGAAAAAGAAGAAAAAAGAAAATGCAAACCTCCTCCAGTTCATTATCATTCTTACAAGGTTTTTGTAATGGCTTCTATTTGTAGCAGCTCAAACACTTTTACCTGCCTTCACTAAACAAATTTGGTATTATAATCAAAAGCAAAAAGACAAATAATACACAAATTATGATCACTAGCTGATAAGAAAAGGAATAATATTGGACCAGCACACTAAGTGGAAGAATGAAGTGTAGGAGTTTTGGAACTGCTGAAAAGATTGTGTGAATAAAAGATGGTAAGACATGAATGAACCGAGATACAGATCTCAGATTTTTATATTAACTCTTCTTTCATTAACTTCCATTCACTCTCCTGGGTGATTGTGTTCATCTCTCCCTTGTGTGACTTTTTAAACAAATTGATAAACTTTGGCTGGGTAAAGAGTTGTCCATGGCACAACTGATTTCCTAACTATGCAAGGGAGCTAAGTAAGCCCTTGCCCACCACCTTAGCACTGCCAAGACAGAGGGCAAACTCTTCCAAAATGGGGCAGACTATTGCACTGTGGTACTTTGGAAACTTTCACAAATTAATCTCCACCTTCCTGCCAACATCACAGATCAATTCCACTTCTGTTACGCTTGAATCTCTCCACATTAGAGGTGAAATGTTGAGTGCACTGGATATGTTCAAAACATCACTGCCACCCCTGATTTGACAGTAAAATAAGAACTTGCCTGATCCATTTTTCATTAGCAAAATAATTGCTTGTGGAAAATATAGTCTTGATATAAGAAAACTTTCCCTGTAAAATATAAAATGCATGGGTTAATTCTCCATATGAATTTCTTCAGCCTTTCCTGTTTTCACCTATGCAATACTGAAGCGAGCCTATGAAGAAAGTGGGAATAGATGGGGCCTTTTCCTTGACAATCTGCCTGCACAAGACGTGCCTGCCCTGTCATTCCCACCAATATGACAACAATCAGATCATAAGCCATGCCCACAGCTGCCAACACTTTGTGTGCCCTGGTGCTTCCCTGTGCTTCCAGCATCCAGGGGCAGTGCTTTAAGGGTCAGAGAAGGGAAGGTGAGGGAAGGTCAGGCCAGGGGAGTGAAGGGGAAGGGAAATTCTCAGATTTACCTCTTCTGAGTGGTGGGAAGAAGCCCAGGAAAGAGTAACTTAACACAATTTCAGCCATAGCTCAACGTGGTTGAAATTCAAATGGGAACATTAAATTTTAATTCACATGAAGGTCTGCCTTTTTTTTTTTCATGGTTGGCTTTTTTCTCCTTACTACTCCCCTATCCTTTCCCCAGCAACAGAAAGTGGATTGAAGTATATGGCTTTTGACAGAACAGCAACACTAAATTAATAAATAATCCTAAAAATCCTAAATTTAAAAATTTCTGTTGAAAATTTTCTTCATCTGCCTTACAAAAGCCCTAAAGTAAATTAACAAAATCACTTATCACTTCTGAAAATCATGATCCATGTGAAAAAATAGTGAAAAAATCATGATCCAAGTGAAAAAATATTTCTGGCAAATCAGCTCTAAGTTATTATTAATGAAATCTAAAACAGAATTTCATTTTTTTCCACTTCTAAGAAGCATCTTCTTTATGAAGATAAGGGACTACAGTGCTCCTTAGCAACTCAAGCTTGATAACTGATAGCATCAGACAGGAATTTACCTTTCTATGACAGAAGAGACAAAAAAAATTCATCACTGTTGTTAAATAGGATTTTTTTTGTAATACATGTTCATAATCTTTCTGTCAAGCAGTGATAAATTAAAACAGCTGACATCAATGAGCATTTCACGACTTCCTCATTTGAAGAGCTGGGCAATTGAGAGCATCACTTTTACTAGCAAAGGTGGTAGACTGAGACATCATGGAATTAAGATCACTGGTAACAGCTAATTTTCCAATACCATGGCTTCAAGTTTTTTTCTGTAGCCTTTATGTTTACTGAAACCTTTTATGTCTTTACTATATGAAGCTTACAAAATTCTCAAGAAATGCACATACTGACAAGAGTTATTACAAATATTTACTCAAAATATTGTTGTTTCCAGTTCCCTGTATTTGTAGCAACATTGAGTTGAACTCATTCTATCTGAGAAGTCAGGAAAAAGTTATTACCATCAGCTTTCCTGGAAGGAATTTCAGTTACTCAGTCTAAATACTTGTGATTCGGCAAGTTATTATTTTATGGAGACATCCAGTGATGATGTGAACACAGTTAATCAAAAGCATTCATTCACAACTGCATTTAAGTCAGGACTCCCGACCAAGAAAAAAGCATTTGCTTGAGGACTAGGAGAAATGACTGAGTTCACAGTAGACATAATTATTTTACATTGAAGAGCTTTGTGAAAAACTGCGTGCCCAGCTGTAGTGAGATAATGATGCCTCTAATTAATGTGGGTTTTTTTTCCATTTAATAATTATAATTGGTTTAGAAATTTGTCAGAAACTGCTGTTGTACAGGAGAGCAGAGACTGTTGTGGCCAGATTTCGTATCCAGTAACAGTTTCTCAGTATTAAAATATAGTTTAGTTTCTAGCATCATATATACTTCTGAAAGATTTTTGAAATGTCAAAGGAATTTATGTAAGCCAGATATTATGCAAATTGAGAAAGTTATAACACTTTAAGTAATAGACTATCTTGTCTACAGTTTAACTACTCTAGGAATTTTTAGGTATATCAATTATAGAGTATTTTGATGCTTTTATGCAGATTGCTAAGAAAACATTCCACTTCCTGAAATATACTCATTGTATATTATTTTAGCAGTCTCACATATTTCTTGCATAAATAGCTACATATCTTTCTAAAGAGTCAGACCAAAATATAGCATTTGATTACCCCTAGTCCCTGTGGGTGTGTAAGTAATTCCCAGCTTTGGAACCTTGTGCCTGTAAGTTTCCATTGCTCTTAGTGGAACACAAAGATACAGGCTTTAACAGATATAGCAATCTGACACAACAGCTGAGCTGGTGGGTTTTGTCTTTGAGCTCTGAAGTTTGATTTTGTGTCTCATTCAAATTTTAAATAATTTTAAGATAAAATTGTCTATTATTACATTATTAAAATAATCGGTACTTTAACTTCCAAACTATTTTAGATGCCCAGCCTTCAAGTAATTGTTTTAAAATATACATGATTGAAAAATGTATGTATGATGGCTATAACATTTATTGTCTCATAAATGCTGTATCAGAATTACATAAAATAGGGCTCTTGAAATCATCTGGGTTATCTTTTATCCTTTATGACTGAGACATTCACTAGGACTGGCAGGGCAACCTTGGGTTCTATCTACAATCCAATGAGCCGTAAAATTTCACTTTGGAAAGTTTGACAATCCAGGGGTTTTTTTTGTATAGACTGTCTCAAGGTAACACTATTAATTTTCTGTTAGTGGTGCTTACCTTACACGAAGCAATTCCATTACCATTCCACTTTTAAAAACTAAACCAAAAGCACAACCTAACTGGCATTAATGTGCTAAACAAAAGAAAACAAGCCCCCATGTTTTCTTCCTGTTTCTCATGCTTGTCTTTCAGGTAATGTAGCCAAGGAGCAGAGGATCACATTGAGTGCAGCTTCCCTGGGCTAAGCTTATGGCACCCACCAGGGGCTCCTGTCTAGTTGTGTGACTAGCTGGCAGGCACCACACAGCCAGCTGGTTGTCTCTTTTGCCAAGATGCTTTCCAAAGAAACTGGCAGTAAAACAGATACATATTCTGAGAATGTTCCAATTGTGGCAAATAAGAAATTTTTGGCTGAGAAGTATTCACAAAAAAATCATGACCAGCTTATTCCTCATCCTCAGCCTATGTCCCAGCTTTAGAACTTCCTGGTATTTAATGCCGTGTGCCTTTGCAGTTGCTTTTCTTCATGCATTTTGTACACTTAAACTTCTTCCCTAAACAGTACCTAAAAGAAGCCCAGGGTGATTTTGCTACCAGACACTAAATAATGCATCTTATGGTTTTAGTAGAAATCCACACTATCTGCTTTCCTGTTGGTCATCAGAATCAAGAAAACTTCTGTTCTTCATACCTTTGAAGTAGATACCTCACACACAACCAGAAAGAAGTGCTGCTGAATAGACTGTCAGAGCTGCCATTCAGTTGGAACCATCTCTGCTGTCCTTGGGTCGCTGCCTACAGATATTTAAATGCAAAATTCAGTTTAACATTGTAAATTGTGGTTGGTTGCAATATGCAGATACATGTTGACCATAGGTGCTAGGGAGTATGTAATTTCTGGCTTTAAGATGAAAGTGAACACAAACTAAGAAATAACTAACTGCACTCTTTCTCTGTTCTAAAAGCTGCACCCTAATACTGCTCCAAAAGTACTTTTGAACTTAAATGACTGTAGAGTCAAGTCTTTCCCATATACCTGTTAGAAAAAAAAAGTGCAGACAATAATTTAAAACTCATGTCTCTAAAAATGGTAAAGACTTCATTGGCTGGTACTTCTAATTATAATTTGTCGGGGACAATGGCTTGAGACCTCCTCGTGTTGGCTTCATGCCTCTGGCACTCCCTGTGATGAATATCAGATACTGTAGCTGTGGGGACCTGGGTTGGTTCAGTTCACTCTTTATGTCCTGCCAACACCAGAGGCTGAAAAAGCTGCCACTCCCACAGTTCCCTGAAGCGTATCCGCTGCCCTGAGGACAGGGACAAAATATTTCAAGCGTTTCTGGAGTAAAACCATTTTGGGGGAAAAAAATAAACCACACAAAACAAAGCAAGGCCTTCTACTGTGGATACTATGTTCCCCTTCCTACACAGGAGCACTGGGAAGACAAACTCTGCTTGCTCTCAGCTCCCACACTCTTCTCCTGCTTCTGAATCCTGTGTTGTTAATGCTGGACTCAAACTGATTTGCATTCTGATCTCTGGAGTGGTCTGGGCCGCACACTTTGTTCTATA